CCAGGTGGAGAGAGAGGGGGGAGGGGGGTTGTCTCCAGCCAGGCGTGTCCGAGGCAGCATTTAATTTTAGATCGGGGTGGTCGGGCCGGGGCCCGGGCCGCCACACACACACACACACGCCCCGCGAGTATATGACACGGCGGGCTGCATAAATTTTAATAGATCCACCATGATCGGGCGTCGTTCGTGCCCGTGGAAAAATAGCCCGGAAAAAAGGGGGATCGGCTCGGCGGCTCGGCGTTTCGGGACGCGGTGCGGACGTTTTCGTTGTTTGGCTGCGCTGGCCGCGCTGCCGTCGCCGCGGTATTGCAAGGGACATTTCTTGCTTAACGTCCCGTGGCGAGGCCTAAATGGCCACGCAGTCCGTCTTTTCTCTCATCCCGGTGCGGTGCCGCCGCTGCAGCCTGATTCCGAGGGTCGCTTTCGTCGCTCTGTCTCTCTCGCACCTATACGGGACCCACCATGAGTGCGAGAGAGTGACAGTCAGAGCGACGAAAACGACTCCCGGAATCCTTCTGCTGGTGGCTGCTGGCCCCCAAGATCCCCTCCACTCTGGTGCTGCCCCCGCTGGCCGTAAGTAAGTTCGCAGCCCGGGCTGCCTGCCTGCCTGCCTGCCCGGCTGGCTGGCGGCTGGCCTGGCACGTCCTCCCCCGCTTTACTGTCATTCTGTCAGTCGACCGGCGAGACAGTGGAAATCAGGGCCGGCTTGGCGCTGTGTGCGTGTGTGTGTGTGTGTGTGTGTGTGTGTGTGTGTGTGTAAAAGGAAGTGCCACCCCCATCCCCCTGCACTACCCCCACATAGGCCAAGGCGGAGAAATGAACTGGACCAGTTTTCTATCCTTTAATGAAATCTCGGGGCTCCGTGCGGCCCGTATTGACAGTGCCAGTTAAGCCCTATCGTATCGCCTTCTTTGTTTTCCATCCCTCTTTTTCTCTCTCTCTCCCTTTCCTCCCTCGTGGCAAATGGTCGGCCCCCTCATTGTTTATTTCCCATAGCGGGCCTCCTCCTCTCCGCCTGCGGAGCTCTCGTGTTGTGACACACACACGCACACACACACACACACACACAGAGTGATAACATGTGCTTGTTAAACTAGCTCTGCCTGAAAGGCGCGCAGTGGCCGTGCCGGCCGCGCGGGGTTTTCAAGGATGAGGCACTTGTTGTGGCGCGCGTAGTTTGCGTCTGGCCGTGGCACCTGCGCGGCGGCGGTACCGCCGGCAGGCCGCTTCCGAATGGTCTCTCTCTCTCTCTCTCTCTGTCTCTCTCTGTCGCACTCATGGGGCGTCCCGCGAGGGTGAGAGCGAGACCTCTTCTCTCGGAATGAGCCTGCTGGGCCGCACCGCCAGCCCTACCCTCCCTGCCTCGCTCACTTACCTCTGCCGCGTTTGCCGCCGCGGGGAGCGAGGTAAAGTTCATGTTTGCGACGAAAATCTCGCGGATCTAGTCGAGTTTCAGGGCCGTAGTGCTACGCGGTACACGCAGGCTACGTGGGTACCGGCGCAGAGTGCTGCTTAATTTTGAAATTACCTTCCCGCTTACCGTCGCCCGCGAGGCGAGGTGTGCGCACCCGGTCCTCGTGAGCTCAGGCCGAGGCGCGTCGGGCGAAGCTGAGATTCCTCGCTGCCGCGTCGCATCGCATCGCGGAGCTTGTCACTCTGGTCACGTTTCCGGAGCTCTAATGCCCTCCAATGGGACTGGAATCAATCGCATGACGGTATCTACAGATTCCCCGTTCGAAGGACAATCCACCGGTGACGTCCTGTCCTGCGTTTGACTCGATTCCATGTTTCATAAAAAATAATGACGATCCCGCTGCCTTGTGCGGAGTTATTCTTCGAGACGTGTCCAGACTACGTCCTTGCGTCCTCCTGTACTGAGCTTCTGGCGGTACCCGCTCCGTGCCCGAGGTGGTCCTGGAGGTGGTCCTGGTGGTGGTCCTGTACGTGGTCCGGGACGTGGTCCTGGAGGTGGTTCTGGAGATGGTCTTTGAGGTGGTCCTGGAGGTGGCCCTGGAGGTGGTCCTGTAGATGGTCCTGGAGGCGGTCCTGCAGGCGGGCGGGTTGAGGCACGTCCGGCCGAAAGGGGCGGGCAGCTCGTTAAGCGGCTTACCCTGACGGCGCCACCACGAAGACTGCCACCTCCGCCACCACCCCGACGGCACGGCCTGGCACGGCCACGCCAGCATCGCTTCCGTTTTTATCAGGCGCCTCCGCGCGCAGCGGGCCGATTCCGAACGGGGTCCGCCTCGCTCCGTCTCGCTCGCACTCACGGGGCGTGCCGCTTGGCGCGAGAGAGACAGAGCGCTGTTCGGCCTGCAGCTCCCCGCTAATTAAAATGGCGGTGATCTCTGCGGGGCGCCTCGACGACGGTGGTAAGGACGACGGCGTGCTCGGGGATTCGGTTCGGCTGACGAGGTCGCCGTCGGCGTCGCTGTGCCCTGGCCGCGCTGGCAGCCCCACGGCGGGGTGCAGCCCCAAGGGGCGGCCCGGCGGACGACCACAAAGTGTATTATTTTGGGGCGTGGGCGGCAGTGGCGGCGGCAGCGGCGGCGTACTCCACCTCCGGCCACTCCGGTCCTGCCGGCCGACCGGCGACGCTGGCCGGCATTCGTTTTATTTTGAGCTTTTGCCTCCTCGCTGCGCCCCGCCACACCCCGCCACGCCCCGCCACGGCGAACGGCCGGGCCGGGCAGCACGATGATTGCGGGGTACGTGGGGTACCAGGCGGGCGGGGCGGCTTTGGCGGCGGCGGCTTCCGGGCCGCGCGGTATTTATCGGCCGATCCACGCGATGCGTCCATCCCTCCCCCGCCTCGAGTGCCTCGCCCGCAGCACTCCGTCGCTCCGTCTCTCTCGCACTCACGGGGTGCCTCGCCTAGGTGCGAGGGAGACGGAGCGACGAGAGCGACTCTCGGAGTCGGTCTACTGGCCGTGCTGGCCGTGCCGGCCGGGCCTGACGCCGGCGGCGGGGAACGCCTTTGTTGCCGCGCCCGATCTGTCTCCGTCCGCGTGCACGGCGTGGCGCGCGGTGCCGCGTGTCGCGTGTAGCAGCACGGCCTCCTGATTGGTGGCGGGGTGGGCGGGGCACGGCGGGGCACGGCGGGGCAGGTGTACGCCACGGCACGCACGGCACCGCGGGGCGCAGCGCCAATTGTTGCCCGGGAAAGGGGGCACCGACTCTCTCTCTCTCTCTCTCTCTCTCTCTCTCTGTCTCTCTCTCTCTATCTATCTATCTATCTCTCTCTCTGTGTGTGTGTGTGTGTGTTAAGCAAGGTGTGGCCGCGTTCCGACAACGCTGCACGACGTCCCATAGAACCTCATCATATATAAGAAGTTGCAACAGCGCGTGGGATCATTTTCCGTAATGGAACCCAGAAAAAGAGGAAGAAGTAGGAGAAAAGGAGGAGGGGGGGGGAGCGGGTGCTCTATTAATTAATTAGCGCCGCTAGTGCGTGTGATGTGGCAATCAGGGCCTCGAAAATCGTGTTCTCTTCTTCACGTCGTGTGTGTTTGTGTGTGTGTGTGTGTGTGTGTTTGTTTGTAGGGCATAACGGCGCTGGCCAGTCCGAGCCATACTTCCTCGTGCTTGTGCGGCTTACGGCTGTTATGGCAGTGTACGGCAGGTCAGGGAGTGCGCCTGCCCACGCGCTCACCTACACACACACACACACACACACTGGCGCGCTTTCCCGCACGCTCGCAAACAGCGGGACACGCTACGGCGCTCACGCACGCGCGCACGCGCGGCCGTAAAAGAGAAAGAAACATGTGCTGGCGTGCGCACTGCCCCGTGAGGCTGCTGCCCCTTTCGGTGCGTGCGTGCCCTCTCTCTCTATTTCGCTCTCTCTCTCTCTCACTCACGCACTCACTCCGGCGCGCTGCGTAGTGTGTGACGGAGAGAGAGACAGCATGCGAGCGCGCGGATTTTTTTTTTCGTCTCGTTCCTCCTTGTCCTCTCAGGCCAACTTAATTAACGCTGGCCACACCAGAGGGCAGCACTGTCGGGCACGTTGCTCCTCGGCCCACATTGCGTGATCCTTGATTCCGGTCCCGGGTTCGACTACCAGCCCCCGCGCTGTTTTTTTTTTCTTTCTTTTTTTTTCGCGCGTTCTGTTTGCGTGGTGCGAGATTGCGGGGCGCGCGTTGCACTGCGCTGCAGTCCGTAACTGCGTTTGTGCCATCACAGTGTGGTAATGAGGGGACGCGTGCGGGGAGGCCGGGGAGGGGGCCTGGTCGGCTGCAGTTGGCGGGCGCCACTCTGCCCCGCGTGGCGCCGTAACGTCCTCCAATTGGACTGGAATCCAGCGCTATATGCATCCAACGGATTGCCGTGCCAATGAGGAATCCATTGGTGCCGCCGTGTGTCTATCTGCTTTCAGTCCCGTTTGAGGAACTGCTTCTAGCCCTCACAGTGTGTGGAGCGCGCCTGCGAGGTAGGCCATCCCGGCGCGCAGCCCTGCGCTCGCGGTGCCTACCCGCACGGCGCTCCGCCTGCCTGCCAGGCCAAGCGCAGCTCACAGCGTCTTGAGTCATGTTCGCCTATCGGGCAGGCCGCCTGGCCCACTGTGACTGTGACGCAACTCGACCCCGCGCTCCGCCCCTCTGTCTGTCTGCCTGCCTGCCTGTCCGCTCGCCTCGCTGACCGCCATCTCGGCCCGCCTCAGGAAGCACCCCGTCCCCAGGCCCCCGCAGCCCCAATCAGGAAATAACCATTGAAAATGTAAATTGCCGGTCCGAGTGGGCTGCGGGTTGCGGGGCTGTCCTGCAATCAGCGCGGCCACTGTGCCGCGCGGGGCGGGGCGGGGCGGGGCGGGGCGGGGCGGGGCGGGGCGGGGACGCGTGTTTTGCAAACCAATTTCTGGCGCGTTTCGACGAGTGCCGGTCAGCAGGCCACCGGCGCCGGCGGCTGTGTACCCGTTTTTTCTTTCGGTTTTTTTTTTTTCAGCTGTGTTTGCTTCTTGTTGAGACTGACGTGGCGGTGTTTGCTTTGCCCTGTTGCAGCGGAGGAGCTGCAGTGCCTGGCGACGTGGAAGGAGGGCTCGGCGCGCTACCTGGTGGGCAAGGTGCACCACTCGCACGCCACCTCCAACGAGGACCGCTTCCGCTGCTTCGTGTACGAGCAGGTCAACTCGGGCAACTCGCTGGCCGGCAACGGGCTGGCCGTGGGGCTGGGCCTGGACGACGAGGCCGGGCTGGGCGGGCTGGCCGGCATGGGCGGCATGGGTCGCGGCCACGACGCGGGCGTCGTGTTCCGAGTGGCGCAGAGCGGCGACGCCACCTGCAACGGGCTGTCCTCGGACATGGAGGGCTCCAGGACCATGACGCTGTACAAGGCGGAAGGTGAGTGGTCGGCTGCACTGTAAAGAAATACATATCGAGAAACATACATTGAGAATTTGCAAAGATGTCTCTGGAAAAAAAAATCGTTGGCGAAGGTACTTTTGTCAATTTACGGAACTTCGTCGTAAATTTGCGAGGCATCTCTGTTAATTTAAGAAGAATCTTCGTAAATTAACGTTGAATATTCTTGGATTCACCCAAAGAACCTCCAGTGTGCCTGACTCTGCCTGTTTCAGCCACGGCCCCGCCCCGGTGCAAGTTCCCCGGCTGGCTCTCTGCGCACTCGCACTGGCTCACGCTGGACTACCGCCGCTCCTACTCGCTGCACCAGAAGAACACCAGCCTCAAGATCTCCAACTTGACTGCCGGTGAGTAGTGGCGGGGAACCGACGGTCTTCATTCCTCGCTTTTTTCCGCTCCGCCCGATGCCGAGAGTCGTTTTTGTCGCGCACCTCTGCGGGGCGCCCCGCGAGTGCGAGCGAGACGGAGCGACGGAAACGACTCTCGGAATCGGTCTTCTGCTTAACGGGCGAATCAAGGCGGACATTCGGAGGGCCACTCGACGAAGCGATGAGCTGGCCGAGGGGGCGCGGGGGCCGCGGGGGCCAAGGGTCCTCGAGTCGAGGCGCCGAGAGCATTGGCTTATCAGTGCGCAACTTTGAGAACCACAAGGTTTTTTTTGTGTCTTTCTTTTTTTTAATGAAGATTTGGGAAACAAAACGAAGGAGGACCTCGCGGTGCGGTGGGAAGCAAAGCCAGCGTCTGGCGAAGTTTTTTTTTTGTTTGTCGTTTTCCTCTGTGGCGCGGCGCCTTGTGGAGTCCGAGCGCCCCTTAAGGTCGCCCCGCCCCGCCCGAGTCGGTAATTGGCCGAGGACGTCCCGATGAATAGAAGCACTACAGTTGCTTCATTTGCTCAAAGGTCGGGAGGTCGGCCCGGACGCCGGATCCAGCATCCCACGGCCATTTTCATCTTCGTTTTCGTTTCCATCGCCGCTCTCTAGAAAGCCGCGCCGCCACCCGCAGACCTCGGCCGGGCGACTTTGAAGACGCTCTCTTTGAAAGCCGAAACGCGACCTGGAGTCCGAACCGCGGACTGCAACTGCACTGGCAGTCGGCCGCCGCACAGTAGGGGGCCAGAAGACCGGTGGAGGCGAACAAAGCTCTAGACGCGTTTTGAGCTCCAGAGTGGCTAAATGGGACTCGAACGAAACGTGTGACCCCACCAATGGACTGCTCTCCGAACGAGGAATCCATTGGTGGGGTCACACGTTCGATTCTAGTCCTATTTAGCGACTCTAGAGCTCAAAACGCGTCTAGAGCTTTGTTCGCCTCCACCGGTCTTGTCCACTGTGCGCGGATCGTCAACGTCGAGTGCGGTTTGACAGAGTAGTGCCGTCTCTCTCTCTCCTCCAGCGAGCGTGAGTGAGTGCACTCTTGACCTTGAGGCGGCTGCTTCTCTTGCCTTTTTTCTTTCTTCCCGGCGCCGGGATTCCTCCAACGCCCCCGGCTTACAGTGAAGGGCGTGCCCAAGAATCCCCGAAGCCAAAGTAGGGCCCTCCACCATGGAGGCTCCAGCCGCGCGCCCGGCCCGCGCTCCCACGCCGCCCTTGACCAGCCTGTCGCCCTGTCTCTCTCGCACCCGTGGCCGGGGCGTCCCGCAGGGCCCGCAGGGGTGCGAGAGAGACAGCGACGACGCGCTCCGCCGAGCGCTCCACCGCCTCCGATCGGCTCGGGCCCACCTAATCACTGCATGAAGAAGCGAGCTCGAAATTAATTTGACGCACTTGGCCGAGTCCCGGTGGCCGGGTTCCCCTCGGGTTCCCCGGCTGCTCTTCCAGCCGATAGAGGGCGCCGGCGTGCAGTGCGCCTCCACTATTTGGACGCCGCCCAGAAAGTCCGACCCGGCGGATCAAAGGTCTAAGTGCGCATGGTTCGCCGGACGCGAAGTCGGCAAGGGGGAGGGGGAGGGGAAGGGCGGCGTTGGTAATTGCTTGCTTTTTCCCGTTGGCCCCGCGAGAGGGAATTTATTTGGCTCCTCCGAAGGCCATCAGTCAAACCGACCGCCGCGGCGGATGGGCCGGGACGGCGCGCCTCTGGCCTGCCTCTGGGGTGAATCGGCGGCCCGATACATCACTTGAAATATCGGGCTAATGAAAATCCATCTCCTTCCGGCGCGCCCGCCCGGCCCGACCCGCCGCCACCGGGGCCGCCACCGGGGCCGCCAGCACCACCGCGTCACACCGGCCGCCTGGCCGTCACCGCCGGCCGCTTGGTATAAGCAATTTCCCGCCGATATATATATTGGGCACTCGGGGGCCACGCGCTCTGCTTCTCTCTCTCTCTCTCTCTCTCTCTCTCTCTCTCTCTCTCTCTCTCTCTCTCTCTCTCTCTCTCTCTCTCTCTCTCTCTCTCTCTCTCTCTCTCTCTCTCTCTCTCTCTCTCTCTCTTTCTCTGTGCGTGCGAGGGGGGAGGGGGCTGTGGGGCTCATATTTCGATAATGGGCCGGGCAGCGCGCTGGAAGGTTTAATATAAAGGAGCCCCTGGCCAGCGGCCAGACCCCCCGGCCTGTCCCGGGTAGGGCCGCCGTCGGCCGCCCTGCAAAATCATCATCATGGTCGTCGTCTCGGTGGCCACGACGGCGGCGCCCCGCGAACAGAAATCAATTTGAAGCGGGCCGGCCGGGGCTGGCGGTGGCCGGCCACTCGGATTGGCCTGCCTTTGAGCGCGGCAGCGCAGTCGGTTTCGTTTAAAACGTTTGGCGTGCGTGCCTGTGTCGGTACCGCCTGCCTACCACGCGCACGGTCTCTTGGGCGTGCTCGGCGCAGCGGCCCGCCAGCCTGCCGCCTCTCGTGTGCCTTTGGCGGCCTTTGGCCTCACACTTCAATTACTTTGACAGGGCCGACTCTTTGGCCGCATATCACGTGGGCCTGCTGGCTCGCGAACACGCGGCACACGGGCCGGGGGAAAGAAAACACGAGAAAACACGCGCGGAAAGGTGGACGAAGGCAGGGACGCAGCGCGGGCAAATAAAACAGCACACGTGGAGACGCGTGGCACGGGCTGCAGGCATCGCCTTGGCTTCCCGGAACCCTTTCTGCGTTTGTCTCTGTCGCACCGCGCTTGCCAAATAGCCCTTTCATCCTCTCATTATTTTCCGCTCTGTTTGAAAGACGGCGGGCATCTTTTTCACCGATGTGGGTTCATGTTTTTTTTTTTTTTTGTCGCAGGTTCCGATATGGATGACGTGGACCTGGACGGCAGGGACGGCGGCCGCGGTGGCTCGCGCGGCCCCGGCGTCGACATGCTGGACCCCGTGGTGGCGGCCGCCACCGGCATGGACCCCCAGGACAACCAGCACGACGAGATGAGGGTGACGTGCACCGAGGCCAAGACGGAGAACGACCGCACCGCCCACATCGTGGCGCACTTTACCATGGGCTGGTGAGTGTCGGGGGGAGGCTTGGGGCACCCTTAGCGGACGGCCAGAGCGGCCCGGCTCGGCTCCGGTCAATCCAAGGGGCGGGCTTTGCGGGTCAGTAGTCTGAGCAGTGCCTCGTCGCGCTGCCCGCCTCGCACCCTTCCGGCACCATCCGGCACGCCCCGCGAGGCTGCGAGTGCGAGAGAGACGGAGCGACGACAGGCTGCAGGCAGCCAGGCTGCAGGGCGACGGACCGGCCCGCGATATCGCCGCGGCTCTGATCCGCGAGAAGCAAACGCGGCCCTTTTTCTTTCCCCGCCCAATTCAACTTTTGGCCACATTGAAAAGGGGACCGGAGGAGGGGGGGCAAAAAAATACTTGAGAAGTTGCGCGGGAAAGGGAATGAAACTCGAAGAAGTGGCCGCACCGTGCCGGGCCGTGCCGGGTGAATGGCGGCGTGCGGGAGGTGGGGGGAGGGGGAGGGGAGGGGGTCCCTCACCGCAAACTGCGCCGTTTGGCCGGCCGAGACGTTTCGAAAGACGTCGTTGGGTCCTTCTATTGGAGATCAATCGGCCTGTCAGGGCGCCTCGCCTGGCCTGGCCTCGCCGCGCCGCCAGAGACGGCCAAGGCAAAGGGAAGGGCCCCGCCGAGGGCCCCGCCGAGGGCTGCTTGAGTAGCCCCGCGGCTTGCCGTTGGCTTTGGCTCCGCGTCGGCAGACTCATTCCGAGAGTCGTTTGCGTCGCTCCGTCGCACCAATGCGGGACGCCCCGTGAGTGCGAGAGGGACACAGTGGCGAAGGCGACTCCCGGAGTCGGTCCGCTGGAGCGGCTCTGTAATTAGGCCAGGCCGCCAGGCCCGGGACGGCGCCCTTTTTCCCTCTGCGAGCCGCTATGGTCGCGAACCGGCACGGCGGCGCGGAGCCGAGCGACTGGAACGGAAACGGGACGACTTGATGCAAATTGGGCGGCCAGCCCACGGCCAGAAAACTGTCCAAAATACATCAGTGCAATCCGAGCCTTCCTCCAAATTGCTCTCTGATGACACTGATTTGCCTCTTTGATCGGTTGTACCGGTATGACAAGAGACACGAAATAGTGGATGCGCGGAATGAGGCGGCGCGCAGCCGTGCGGCGCGGTGGCGGTCTTGGTCGCCTCCACTGTGCACAGCACGCTGCTCGCGTGCCGGGGCGCCGTCACTGCAAAAACGCGGCCAGGGCGGCGAACGCGGCCATCGCGGTGGAGGGGGCGGTGGAGGAATGCGCCGCGATGCGCCGCCAGCGGACGGATTCCGGGGGTCCTTCTCGTCGCTCTGTCTCTCTCGCACTCTCGGGGCCGACCCGCGTGGGTGCGAGAGAGACAGAGCGAGGCGCCACTGCCGGGAGATAAAGACGGATGGGGCCGTGCGTGGCACGCCGTGCAGGTGAAACGGGAAGAAAATTGGCCGCCGCTGGTTCGTCTTGGTGTTGTTGTTTGTTTTTGTTTGTTTGCAATGCGGCCGTGCTCCAAATCGATGGTCGCCAGCACACGGTGCAGCATTCCGGCCGTTCCGGCGCCGCGACACGGCGGACCGACTTAGGCCCCGACCGATCGCGTGCCGCCACGCTTTTGCATATCTTATTCACCGCGGACGTAAAAAAGGGGTAATCACAACAACAAGAACAACAACAATAATAAAAATAATAAAAATAGTAGTCGTAGTCGTGATATCCCGGCGGCGGGCGGCGCGTATCTGAAAAGCAAAGCCATGCGGGCCGGCCGTGCGGTCCACTGCCTATCGCCATCTTGTATCCGACGGCAACAACAACTTTGAATATAAATATATTTTTCAAACAACTTCGTGGGTGTACACTATAAGCTTACCGCGCCTCCATACTTTTGTTTCGGAGGTCGTTTCGGATTTTGTTCGCTCGCGACTAGTATTGGGGGCCGTGTATCCATTGTGGGGCGTGAGCTGCGCACTCGTGTTGGGCGGCAGCCAATCAGGGCGCGGCTTGCGATACCAGTGTAGCACCGCGACCGGCCGACAGCGGGAAGCGGGCCGCGATCGCGCTTTGGAGAAGAAGAGGAAAATGACGAGCGAAAAGTGCCGCTCCACGCTCTCGTCGCTCTGTCTCTCTCGCACCCTCGGAGTGTTCCGTGGGCTCCATGTAGGCGAGAGCGGGAAAGACAGAGTGACGAAAGCACTGTAGTGGAATCGCTCTGAGGCGCCCACGACAAGAGCGGGTTATTTGGGGGGGATGCTGTACAGGTTGAATAGGTGCGAGAATGTGTGTGTGTGTGTGTGTGCAGCCCCACTGACTCCCCGCTTCCTCTGATTGCAGCCAGAGCGGCTTCCTGTGCATGCAGTTCTACCGGCGCGACAGCCACGTCGTCGAGGTGCAGACTGGTGAGTACGGCGCGGCGCCGTGTCGCTCGGCGACGGTGCACTGCGAAAAAATTAAAAAAAAACTTTTTCCCTTTTTTTTTGCTGGGAGTGCGTAGGACGGTGCCGCGGCGAAGCGCGGCGATGCTGACTCAGCTTACTTGAGCTTGACTTTCGCTCCCCGGAATGCACGGGCGGCGGCACGGCACGGCCTATTTCCTCGTGCGTGGGACTGCCCCGTCGGCCTGGCACCCACCTGGCTTGAATTTGGAATGCTGCCCTCTCGATATTCACCCCCCCCCCTTTTCCCCTCCTCCTCGCGGTGCTGCCCACCGTAAATTCGGCCGCCGCTTGGCCGACCGGCGAGTTTATTTCGGCCCCTGCGAATAGCGCGCGGCATATAGTGGCGCGGAAAGAGCGGAAAGAAAAAAACGGTTATTTGCACGTCGGTGTTCGAAACGGGCGCCGCCGCCCCGCCTCACCCTTTGTTCCGCAAATTAACAGTCTTCCGCGGCCCGTTCCGGCGTTCCAGGCCACTTGGCTTCAGTCGCCGGCCCTGGAATCGGGGAGGGGGAGGGGGAGGGGGGGGGGGGCAGCACCGCCCCGACACGGCCGCCGCCCTATGCCAAATCGGCCGACCCGATTCCGGGACGCGCGGCATTTTTACGCGCGTGCTGCGCGTGTTTATGGCCCCGTGTCGCGTGGGGGCGGGGCGGGGGATTCCGCACAGTCTGTCTCTCTCGCACCGATACGGAGCGCCCCATGTGAGAGAGAGAGGGAGAGCCAGCCCGGACCGCGAGCCCAGCTGCCACTCGATGGATCGGACTGCGACTTCCACTGCACCCGCAGCCTCGGCCGCAGCCTTTGCCGCAGCCCGCAGCACGATCGGCCGATTCATGAGGCCACTCTCGGGGCGCGCGGCCGGCCGGCCAGTCTTCGAGTAGCGGTCCAGTCGGTCCGGCCCTGCGAGGAGGCGAAGGGAGCCGCCCTTATTTCTCGAGGATCTCCCAGCCGCACATCTCTACGGCCCTCTGGCAAAGAACGGCCACGCACGGCCCTTAACGGGGGTCCGCCATGGGTACCCGGAGCGGCCCGGCGCAATGGCACAGCCTGGGCACAGCGGCACGGCGCGGCAGGCAGATGTTCCCGACACCTGCAATGGGGATGAGGCTTGGCTTGATTTACCGGGGGTGACGCTCTAGGGGCCGCTCTGCAGGCAGGCAGGCGCCGCTCACAGTGGTTTCGTCGAGCCCTGTCTCTCTCGCACACCCACGGCGCATCTCGCAGGGGGTGCGAGGGAGTGAGAGAAGGGCGCGGCGCCGCCGACAGCGCCGCAGCCTCGTTGTTCGGAGTCAGCCTGTCGGTTGCTTGTGAACCGCGACCCGCGCAGCACAGCGCAGCACACCTGGCGTATCTCAGCGCGGCTTCGTTCCGATGGCGTTAAACTGAGCGGAGCCCCCTTCACACACACACACACACACACACCGTACGCACGCACAGGGGGCGAGAGAGACACCGCCCACCTCCGCTCGACGCTCGTCGCGTCGCGGCTGGCTGCGGGAATGCCTCGTTTTGGCGCCGCTCGTCGTCCTCGTCGTGAAGGCCCCGATGCCGGCCGGCGATACATGGCGTTGGTCTTCTTTCTCCCGAATGGCTCCGGCATCACCCCGCCCCGCCTCGCCTCGCCGTGTCTCTCGGCCGGGCCGGCGATAAGTCGCGTTTATGGGCAATAACTCGCGAATCAGACGAAAGTTGAAAGTCGCCCTTTCGGCCTGGGCTGCCTGCCTGCCTGCCTGCCCGCCTGGGCCGCTGGTTCTATCTTTGCCAGCCGCGCGGACCGACCGGGGAAAAGAGCTACGACCGCGCTGCTGCTCTCACGCGCGCCTTTCCCGAGACACGCGGAGATTGGAGAGGCGGGGCGGGGCACCTGCGGGGTAACAGCCCCCAATGTTTGCCGTCAAGTGATATCCAATCCCATCTGTTGGGTCACGCCGCGCTGCGGGGGCCGTGCGGTATGCACGTGCACGACACACCTGCGGGGCGGGGCGCACGGCCAAGCCAACTGCCAGCCCCGTCGGCCATTTTTGCAATTTTTGCATATCGGCTTTCTTTCTGTTTGTTTCGTTATCCGGCGTGGCCCCCACCGCCCCCCACCGCGGCCGCTCCGACGCGACGCGATTCTCCAGAGACGAAAGGAGCAACATTGACTTCTCGTTTCATCGCCGCGCGGCTTTCGTCCTATAAATATTTATTTCCGTTTGGCGCGCGCGTCTCGCGTGAAAATGATGCCAGCCTTTTTTCCCTCCCCCCCCCCTTGCCCCCTGCCGCCCGTCCTATCTCTTGTTCTTTCCCTTCATGGTGACTCTCCACCTGCCGGCGCCCTGCCCAGCGCGGCCAAAAAGTATGGCGGAGAAGGAGAAGAAGGAAGAGGAGGAGATAAAAATGACTGGCGGGGCGGAAACGTGGTCGCCGTTCCGGCGCGCGGCACGGCGAGGCACGGCGGAGGCGAAGATGGACTTGAAAGTGACAGACGAACGCGGCAAAGTGACTCGGGGCGAGGCATCGCGAGGCATCGCCAAGCGTGGCGAAGCGACGCCGGAAATGGAATGACACAGGCAAAACGACTCGCCGACGGCGGCGGCGTGCTCGGCGTGGCGGTGCTCGACGCGGTGCTCGACGCGGTGCTCGGCCCGCCCACATGACTGCCTCGTTGATCCAGTCTGATTGGAGCACGCCGACGCGCCGCTACACTTGTCGAACACCGCCGCGGGCCGCGCGTTCCATCAACACGACGCCGGGGACGCGGAGCAAGCGGAGCCTGCAGACTGACTCCGAGGGTCGTCATCGTCGCCCTGTCTCTCTCGCGCTCGCGGGGCGTCCCGTACGGGTGCGAGAGAGACAGAGCGACGACAGCGACTCTCGGCATCAGCACGCGGATCCATAACGTCGCAGAGACGAAAGTTGTCGCGGCTCGGTGGCGTGCAGAGTGTAGGCGGCAGGCGGCCCGGCCCGGGGAGTATTTGCTTGCAGTAATCGCTTCCTCGGCTTGCCGAGCGCGCTGCCGCGCTGCCTCCCCGCTGGTGTTGGGCTGTTTGTTGTCGGGGCTCCGCGCGTCGCGCCCCAGGCGAGGCTCCTGCCCTGGCCTGCCCGCGATGCAGCTCTGTGTGTGTGTGAGAGAGAGAGAGAGAGGGGGGGGGGAGGCGCCGCCGCAACCGCCGTGCTAGGTACTCAAAATAGAGCGATATCACAGTAGTCCATGCTGGCTGTCACAGATGCAACAAGCTGATGATTGAATCTGGCACAAAGACCATAAAAAACAAAAATTGCTTTTTTTTGTTGTTTTGGGGCCGAGTTTTCGAAGCTGCTTCCCGGCGCCGTCGCGACCGGAAGTGACGCGCTTCGCCACTGGAATCGCCTATGGGGGCTGCAGATTGCAGATTTGCAGTCCTCGTCTTCATGGCGCGCTGGATGTCCTTTCCTTCCTGCCGTCCGTCCCTCCGCCGAACACGTGACCGGGACAGGCACCGCCGTCTCGATGGCGGAGCGATTTAAAATAAACAGCGACAGGAAAAAAATACCGAAATAAAAATTGGAAATTGGACGATACACGGCCGCCGCGAGCACTGCGGGCGAGGGGAGGGAGTGGGCATGCAAATGAGTCGGCATGGCGGTGCGAGGCGCGCTGCGAAGGGTGTAGGCGCAAAGTGATTTCGCGCCGCCAAAATCAACTTAGCGAGCCAATCAAATCTCGACGACACACTGACGGCCGCCGGGACTGATTTGCCTCCAGTGGACCGCACTTTTTCCCCTCCCTGGTTTTCATTTGTTGTTGTTGTTGGAAAGGTAAAGCAGGGACGTCCGCGGTTTCCGGATTCGCTGGTTCTCTTCGGCAGGGCAGTGCCGGCAGCGCTCGAATGCCGCGGCGTTGGCTGCGCTTGATTCTGATTCACTGGCGGCGGCCAGTGCCCCGTCACTCTCTCTCTCTCTCCCCTCGCATCCCTACGGGACACCTCGTCGTAAGTGCGAGAGAGACAGAGAGACGAAGCGCCGTTCGGAATCAGCCTGCCGGTCCACTCTGGACACTTGTTGTGCCACTCAGTGCTGGCCGCTCGGCGTGCCGCTGTAGTGCGGCTGGCTGCCTGCCTGGCTGCCTGCCTGGCTGCTCGGCCGGGCTGGCTGGATTTATGGCTGGCCGGCCTGTTCGGCCAACGCGTGCAGGGCCTGCAGGGCGTGCGGGGAATCGCTTGATTTCAGTTTGGGAACTTCGGGCGGCAAGGTGTGCTGGCGCCGCCGGCACCGCCCGCGGCCCGCGTATGAACTAACCGGGCCGACGCCGACGGGAATGGCCGCAAGTTTGGGCCGGACGCCGGTCTCGCTTTCGACCCCGCTCCGTTCCGTTGCCGTTTTTGCGTTATTTGATTATGCGGCGGTCGTTACCCGCCGTTCTGGTTGCCCCTTTTTTTTGTGGCTTTCTGGGCGCACAGTGGGCCAGAAGACCGGTGCAGGCGTCCAAAATTCTAGACGCGTTTCGAGCTCCAGAGTCGCTTAATGGGACTCGAATCGAACGTGTGACCCCACCATTGGATTGCTCTTCCAGCGAGCAATCCATTGATGGGGTCATACGGTCGCTTCGAGTCCTGTTCAGCGACTATGTAGAGCTCGAAACGCGTCTAGAATTTCACCCGCTTCCGCCGCTCTTCTGGCCCACTGTGCGGCGCGGTCCGGAAGGCCCGCTGCAGCCCGCGGAGAAAAGGAAGGACGTTTTTGACGTGGCGTCTCCGCGACGCGGTCGCCTCGCCTCGCCTCTTCGAGGGGAAGGAAAGAAGGTCATCATCATAATAGCAATGTTCGGGGGAAAGAGTGAGATGGGCTGGCCGTGCTCGCACTTGTTGATGAAGTGCTGCGAAGTGGAGCGAGTGTAGGTACGGCGAGGCCGGCGAGGTCGTAATTGAAGGCCGGATGTTTTAATGAAGCTGGCATGGCGCTGGCGACGCCCGGCAACGCCAAGCCAGGCCAGGCGAAGCCCTCCTCGTGGAGGCCGAGCAGGCCCTGGCCGTGGTGCGCGCCGCGCTGGCGGCGGCAGGCGGCGCCCGGGAGGTCATTTGCGCTCGCCGTCGTTGGCCGGAACCTTTTCTTCTCGCAAATGCAATTACATTCTGGCTTACTATAATGTCAGTTGCAAAAATGGCGTTGCTGTTTCCAACCCCCGCGCGCCTACAACGGCCCATGGCTGTATGCAGTCTTCGCCAGGCCGGAGTTAGTTATCCATGAAAACAAACCAGAGGCCGATTGTGCGCGCGGCGCTCTCTCAAGGCGGCGCTCAGCAATCTGAAAAGTTGTCGGCCGAAGGACAAGAAACCGCCGAACGAGGTCCGCGCCCCTCCACCGTTTTGCGCGCACAGCGCGCCATTCCAAAGCCGCATTCGCGCCAAATTCCCCGCGTAATTTAATGGAGCGAGGCTCGCCCCGATTCCCGCCATTCTTTCGCGCCTCGTCTTGGCGCCCCGCTGCATCGCTCTCTCTCTCTCTCTCTCTCTCTCTCTCTCTCTCTCTCTCTCTCTCTCTCTCTCTCTCTCTCTCTCTCTCTCTCTCTCTCTCTCTCTTCTCGCCGCGGTGGCGGTGCGTGCGCTGCAGCACGCCGTGGAGGGCAGTCCGGCGAGTCCCAGTCCGCGCGGGGCCGCCAGGGCTGCCACTCGCACGCAGCGAGGCAGCGAGGCGCCGCGGGGAGGGAACTTACAGTGCCACGCTGCTGCTTTGGGGGGGTGGGGCTGGGCCGCTCATTTTTGGCACACATACAAAATAAGTTGCCCCACTCGCACTATAAATCACTGGCTCGTTAACCCCCATGTGCGCCTCGCTGTACTTCTCTCTCTCTCTCTCTCTCCTCCTCTCTCTCTCTCTCTCTCTCTCTCTCTCTCTCATCTCCTAGCTCTCATAGAGTGAGACGAGAAGTTCCTAGAGAGAGAGAGAGAGAGAGAGAGAGAGAGAGAGAGAGAGAGAGAGAGCGCTAGTAGCGAGCAAACGTCCGCGCGTACAGACAGTTATTTTTCATCCACGCAACGATACAAGGGCTGCTTGCTGTTGCGGTGGCGGCGCGTAGTTCTAGTTTCGCGGTTGGAGAGAGAGCGCGAGCGTGTGTGTTAGCGTGTGAGTGAGTGGGAGGGAAGCAGGGGAGTGAATGGAAGGGAGGCGTCCTTGCTTTTTCTTTTTTTTCTCGCGGTGCCGACTGCCGTCATGTCAGTGACGCTTAGCAAAGCTCGCCCACTCCGAGGCCGAGGCCTGGCCCGGGGCAGCTCGGCTCGGCCAGGCTCGGCCAGCTGGAATGTTGTTCGTGTTCCCACGCCTCGGCTCTGCTCGACGGGGACGTCGGGGCCGTGGGGGCCGTCCGGGGGTTGGGGGTTTCGAGTTGCGCGTCAAGCTGAGAGCCCGCCCCACCCCGCCCCGCACTCTCGGGCGACACGGAGACGAACAAAGCGCGCGGCGAGTGTTACAAAAACACGCCCCGGCGGCGTCACTCGGCCGCTGGCGCTGCTGGCACCGCCGGCACTGCTGGAGAGCGACAAGCCGCCGACAAGCAGGGCGTGGGCACGGCGAGAGGCCGCGTATGAAAAATTCGGCGGCCGGATTGGACGAGAGACTCCTCGGCGCTGCGGCGCTGCTTGGCGGCGGCGAGGATGTTTGGCGTGGGGCGGGAAGGGGCGGCGGGGCGCTGAACGCGCATTTGTACAAGCTGACGGCCTGGACCGCGCGGCCTGGGACTATCCCGCCGATATATATCTCAAGGCGGCCCGGCCGCCGCCGCCGCAGCAGGGCTGGCACAGAGGCCCTTGAAAATTCGGGGCGGATGGAGAGGGCCTGGCGGCGGCGCTGCTTGCGGGGGGGATGCCCGTACCGTGGCGAATGGCGGCCGTAACCGCTATACAACCTGGCCGAACCGGCTGGGATTCCCCCGTTATATATTCAAGACTTTGGCCTTTGCAACGCCGCCCATTTCGACACTTTGCAAGGTGTCCCTTTGCCGGGCGGAGGGAGAGGGGGGGCAATGAGATGCGGCGATTCGCTCGGGATTCCACTGTAACTGCGCGAAATTCGCGGCCCGCTTCGCCGGCCAGCCTGCGCCAGCCTAGGCCAGCCTGTCGCGCACGCCGTCATAAAAGCCGGCCGGCGGAGCAGGCACCCCGCCCCGCACCCCGCCCCGCAACCAGCAGGGCCCGAGCCAAGAATTAAGCGGGCTGAATGGAGATGGTCGTTTGTCCCCCGTCACGCCCGCAATCTTATTATAAGCAAAAGCATGTTGTCGACGCGGCGCCGCCACCCCTTGCTCTTGTTGTTGTTGTTGCTGCTGTTGTCTGAGCTGCTCCCGTTGTTGTTGCAGGCGCGCAGACCCGGCGCCAGGAGGACGCCTGCCTGCCCGCCAACTTCGACCGCAACACGCTGCCCTTCGTCACCCTCGTCAGTAAGTACGCCGGCCATCCGCATCCGCAGCCATCCGCGGGCATCCGTCATCGTTACGGATAAAAGGCGACGGCTTTTTGCCTAAAAATGAAGCCGCGGCCCCGCCAGGGCCCCGCCAGGGCAGTGCTCCGTCTCTCTCGCACTCTCGGGGCGCCCCGTGAGAGCGAGCGAGCGAGAGACAGTCCTGGGGGCGTGGCCGGGCGTGGCCTGTCGCGGTGTCCATCAGTCTCCGTCCCGGCGGCCGGGCCGCCCCGCCTGGCCCAAGGCCTGGCCCAAGGCCTGGCCTGCCTGGCTCGGCTGATCAATTCATTTGCGACCGACCGGCTGGTGGGCCGGCCGCGCCGCGCCCCGCCCATCCCCGTCCCGCAGTCTCTGGAGGAAGTCCATCAGGCGACTTCCTCCGCGCCCCGCCCCGCCCCGCCCCGCCCCGCCCCGCCGCGCCCTGATGGATTGCGCGGCTGTTGTTGTTGTCGCTGCTGTGTTTTCTTCTTTCGGGGCCGCGCCGCGCGAATTTAGCGCGAAGGGAAATTGTGCGACGCGCGCCAAGGCGCTGCTACGCTGTGTGTGAAAGCAAGGCCTTAATGGTGGTGGCGTGCGCTCCGCCCCGCTCCGCCCCGCTCCGCCGTCGAGTGACTGACGCACCAATCGACGACAAAAGCCAAAGCCGCATGGCGTTCCGGCCGGCGCCCCGCCACACACACACACACACACACACACTTTTGCTGTGTCTTGTTTGCGGCCTTTTCCCGCCACCAAACAGCAGCCGGCCCACCGTTCACGCTGCACTCTGTGCGTTCGTCGTGCCGGTGCTTCGCAGTGCTTCGTCCGACCGAACTCGACATGTCACAGTGCTTCTCCCTGCCGCCCTTTTGGCCTTCTTTTCCCTCCGTCCGGCCGGCCGGCGTGTTTGACCGCGGCGCGCCACGTCCGCCCCAAACGCCGCGGCAGATTAGCGCGGCTTTCTCGCTAATTAACGTGGCGATGACGTCACCGCCCCGGCCAAACGCGGGGCAGGGGCACTGCAAACCTCGGGGCTTTTAAATGAATTAGCGCTTTGATTCTTTGCCGCGGGGTGAAAATAAAACCGGTGCCCTCCTTGGTCTGTCCCGACCTCCACGTTCGGCCAGTGGCCCAGCCTCTCCAGGCCGCGAGCGCCGTGCGGGGTAGGCAACGCGCGGCCGCTCCGCGCTCCGGCGCGCGCCGGGCTGGCCTACACTGCTGGCTGCAGGCGCACTGGCCAGGCGGCCGAAACTCGAGACGTGTTTTGAGCCAAGGAGTCACTACACAGGACACGAACCAAGCGTGAGACCCCACCAATGGATTCCTCGTTCGGAGAGCAATCCATTGGTGGGGTCACACGTTCGGACCGAGTACCGTTTAGCGACTCGGGGCCCAAAACGCGTCTGGAGATTTTGACCGCCTGCGCCGGTCTTCTGGCAAATCCACTGTGGGCTGGCTGGCAGCACTCGCTCATCCCCCCGACGGCTGCAGGCCAGGCTCACCGCAAGCGGGTTGTCGCTCTGTCTCTCTCGCGCCGACACGGGACGCCCCATAAGTCAGAGGAGAGAGGGGCCTCCCTGTCGGAATGAGCGTGCTGCCTGGCCCTGATAGCGTGCTGTGTGTGAGTGGGGTGGTGTTGCTGCCTCTGGACGAGAAGGCCCTTTCTTCGTGCGTCCTTGAGGAGAGGCTTGTTTCGCGGCGAGCCGGGGACAGGCTTAATTAGGACACACACACAAGCACACACGCACGTACACACACACACACACCGACAAGTTCCTGTCAACATGGTAAAAAAGGGGGGGGTGTCATTGTGAGTCGTAAAGTCGCACGCACTTTTTGAAATAGCTGGATTTATTTTTTTTCGGCGCGTTTACGCCGTCGTTGGTGTGAGTGCGCGCGCCGCTCACTATTTTTGCGCCGGAGCTCTCACTGTGATTGGCGCACGGCACACTCACTTTGTGCACCTCTTTCCGACGCGGAGCGGGAAGGGGGGGGGGGAGGGTGATGGCGAAGTGCGACAGTTGTTGACGCGCGCGGCCCCGCGGCCCCCAGGGCGCCCTTCCCGCACCGCCTCCACTCACCACGTCGCCGAATTCACCGCCGCTCTGACTGACTGCGCGCTCGGCCGCTCGGCGTTCCGTCCGTCCGGGTTCGCAACTACTCCAAGCAGTGCGTTAATCCGGCCGGGGCTCGGCCTGGTCGTTGACCACGGTAAGCCGTGGGACTAGCGAAACTTGACGGCGGCTCAAGCAAGGCACCGCGCCCAGCAAGTGGTGCTCGTCGTCGCGTCCTCGGCCGGGGTCTCCTCCGCCTCCACCAGGGCCTCCACCAAGGCCTCCACCAGGGCCTCCACCAGGGCCGCTCCTCTTCTGTAAAGTTGGCAATTTTTCTCTTCTGCATGACTGCCCGCGCGAGAGGCGGGGCGGGAGGTCGCCGGGTGGCCCGGCCAGGCAGCAGCAGTGGGCTTCGGCCGCTTCGGCAGCGACTCTTCTCCTCGCCCCGTCCCGTTCCCCATTGTGGCTCCGCCAAAGAACTCTCAGATTAAAATTGCGGCCGAGGTGGCGGCGGCGCGGTGGCCGGGCCGTTGGGGCGGCGACGTCTTTTGCCCTTTTGTCGCATGCGGCCGGGCATTACTGTGATCGAAAATAAATCAAAAAGGCGGCGGGGCGGGGCGGGCTGCAGGCCATGCCAAGGCACGCATGCCGGCGATGAGGCGATTGTGGCGCGGCGGCGGCGGGGCGCGGCGGGGCGCACAACTAAATATGACTGGCACTTACTTTGGTCGGGAAAACCTTTATTACGGGGCCGCGGCGCGGGGGGCTGATTCCGAACAGTGCCCCGTCTCTCTCGCACTCGCGGGCCGCGGCGTAGGGCCGCAGGGGTGCGAGAGAGACGGGGCGTCGTTCGGAATGGCGCGGCTGTCGATGTGATCAGTTCGTGGACGGGCTGCTCCGCCTGCCTTCGCGTGCCGCCGCCGAGTATTTCACGACTCGTTTGACACCGCCACTGCCGCGGAGCAAGTACGAAGTACTTAAGGAGGCCGCCACGCCCCGCCACGCCACGCCCGGCCTGGCCCCGGGGGGCGGCCATAAATCGGCGGGCGATATCAACATGCGTTATACGAGTCTTATCTGGAACGGCCGGACGGAGGCACTGGAAGCACTGGCAGCACATAAAGCGAGGACCTGTGTGTTTGGCGCGCCTTGTAAGCCGCCGTGGCCGCGCCACCATCTTGGCGAGGATTCACTGTAACGCCCTCATCGTCATCTCCTCTCGCGTCCCCGCTGGTCCCCGCGGGTCCCCGCGGCCGACGGCGCCCCCGAGTGCGGTTCCGTGTCGCCGAACGGCGGCGGCGGTGGCGCCGCTCTCGCGGCTGATTAGTATTAAAACTTTGCTTATTTCTGGGCAGAAAACGCGCGAAATGAAAAGACTCGGCGGTAAAAGGGGCGGCGGGGAGGTTCTCCGCTAATCCATTGCCGCCTCCATTAGGCGCACCGTCACGCCGCCCACCCGGCGGCGTCCTGGCCGTTCGTGTGAGGCTCGTCCGCACGGTTGACTCGAGAGCTCCAGAGGGACGACGACGACGACGACGGCTGCCTGACAGCAGCGGCCGACTTGGTTTGCGGCGACTTGGAGCGGACGGGTCGGTCGGGTGAAAAAGAGGGGGCAAAGTTTGTGATTCGGCGGCGACGGCGACGCTGAAAGCTGGAAGCTGGAAGCCACCTTTGAAATTAGCGCGCTCCGTGCCCCGCCCCGCCCCGCCCGGCGTCCCCGGCCGCCTCGCTTGGCCCTCGGCGCCGAAAGCCAGAACGCCACCGCCGCCCCGCCGGCCTGCCGCCCTGGCGGCTGCAGCAGCCGAGCAGAAGCGGAGGCGATGTAATTCATTAGGCTGGTGAATTATGTACGGTCCCTCACGGTCCCCGGGAAGAGAAGAGAAGACTTTGGGGTTAATGGATGCGGCAGGAGCTGCAGTCGAGACTGGGGGCGGGGCCGGGCGGGGCCGGGGGGGTGGGGGGCTGTAAGACAAGGACTCCCCCCCCCCTCTTTTCCCCTTGGGCCACCCCCGCCGCTGCCGATTTGCAAAGCAAATGCGTCCAGTACAGCTATGCCGCCCCCGGCCGCCCCCCGTCGGTTCGCGTGTAGGACTCTCGCGAAACACCCGCCGTGCCGCGCCGTGCCGCGCCGTGCCCTGCTTCTTGTTCGCAGGGTGTCGCGTCGCTTCTCGGCCGCGCTGCGCCTCATGGCGCGCCGCTCCCCGTCTTCCGGTCGCGGATTTATTATTTTCACGGAATTCGGATTTTGCTATTCATTTTCGGGGGAAACGGGGTCGGTGCAGCTCCCTCGAGGTTCGCGGCGGCCGGGCCCCGTCCTCGCCGTCAGCGGGGGCTGTTTTGTGTTTGGCACGGCCCCCAGGCCCGCCTTGCCTTCGCTGCCACGGCCGCTGCCACGGCCGCTGCCACGCGGGGTGAAAAATCGCCATTCCATTCCATCGACATGACGAATCGTTTCGGAAACAAACGGCATTATGATGTAGCGGCGCCTCACCTGGCGGCGGCGGCGCTGGGCGGCGCGGGGCCTGGCGGTCCCTCGAGAGCGAGAGAGACATCAGTCACTTACCGCCCGGCCAGCCAGGCCGGCGCGGCCCGGCCCAGCGAGGCCCGGCGAGGCCAGCGGAATGAGGATCCAAAAAGGGGCAGGGCGCGTCCGGACGCGTCCGGCAGCGCGGGCTGCTCGTCGAATAATAGCCCCATGTTGAATGCGGCCCGGGCACGCGCGCGCTTCTCGACTTTTCGCAAGAAAATCAAAACAGAATTACATTCACGGGGTTAAGAAAGCCTTCGCTCGCTGCTGCTTCATTTTTCATGGCCTGGAAGTTTCATCTCCAGCAAGTGCTTTCCCAGCGAGCCCGCCACGCCCCGGCCAGGGCAAGGCGGCGCGCAAAAAATGTGGACGCTCTGCGGACTGATTCCGAGAGTCCTTTACGTCGCTGTCTCTCTTGCGCGTTAACGGGACGCCCCATGAGTGCGAGAGAGACAGAGCGACGGAAACGGCTCTCAGTCTGCTGCGACGCGCTGCCGAAGGCGAGGCCAGGCGAGGACCCGCCGCCTCGCCTCGTCAACGCTGCGGCTAATTAAAATACCAGTTGGAAATTACGCTCGCCTCGCCGCCGAGCCGCGGGTAAATAATGGAAAAGAATTATCAACCGGCAGTCAAGCCAGGCCAGGCGGCCGCGCGCTTACGTCGCTGTCTCTCTCGCTCCCGCGCGGCGTTTCGCACGGGTGCGAGAGAGACGGAGGGCTTTCCACTGCGCCCTCGGTGCTGGCTGCCAGCCCTGCCAGCCCTGCCAGCCCTGCCAGGGCGGCGCCCTCTGCTCCGGTTCCTCGCCACGGACGCACTGCCTGACGGATGGCGGAGGGTTCGGCCGATCGCCCAATATGTTTCCGTATCTCGATGGCGGCCGCGGCCCTCGGCCAGCGCGGACCGACAGAAAAAAAGAGGAAAACAAATAAAAAACAAAAATAAAGAGTGCTACTCCACTCCGTGACTTTAATTAGCGACGCGGTCGCGCGGGAGGTGTGTGGAGTTCGAGCGTTGGAGTTGGTTTCTGCTGGCGCACTGTGCGCGCGACCGGCGACTGCCGAATTCCTCATCGGCCGGCCAAACGAGTCCCTTCCCGTTCTCGCGCCGCCGTCCTTCTCCTGCGGCGACACGACTCGATAGATCGATAGATCGATACGGCGGCCGGAATATCGAGGCAATCAGTGTCGCGGCGCGTTATCGGCCATGAATGCATAATGCACGGCGTTGCATGCGCGGTGCCCGAATCATGATGCAGGCTGTGGGGCCGTTGCCTCGGCCGTTGGCCGTTTAGCGCGCTGCTCGGCCCGCCCCGCCGCGGCGGCCTGCCTGCCACCAATTCATCGCGTATCGGCGTGCCGCGTAATTGGCGTCCCTTTCGTGGCGGCTTTGCCTTGACACGCTCTGTCTCTCTCTGCCCGCAGCGTCCATGCCCGAGCCCAAGCAGTGCCCCTACCTCGGCAAGTTCAGCGTGTCCGGGCTGCTGCGCGAGGAGCGGCGCGCCCGGTCGGCCGGCCCGTCCCACGGCCGCTCCTCGGCGGCCACCTCGGGCCGCTGGTACCGCCGCGCGCTGCAGGAGTACAACCCGGAGGACGACGACGGCGGCTTCGGCGAGGAGGACGAGGAGGAGGACGAGGGCCCCGACGGCGCGTACGGCGCGCCCCGGGACGTGAGGCGGCGCCCGGCCGGCATCGACGAGCAGCAAGGTACGTGTCGCGGGTCCTGGGTCCCAGCTGGATCGCGGGGAGGGGAATGTCATGTCGCCGCGGTCCGCTTCACTGCACGGCTTGGTTTGGGTCCGCAGAGGAGGCGCGGCTCTTCAACAAGAAGAAGAAGCAGCAGGACGAGCGGGACGCCCGCATCAAGGCCGACCTGGCCATGCGGCAGGAGTGGCTGCAGAACCAGCAGCAGCAGCAGCAGCAGGAGGGCAAGAAGCTGCCCGTCGGGGACTCCGCGCTCGGCGGCTCCAGCCACCGCCGCAGCCACCTCAGGAGCCACTCCAAGCGCAGCAGCGGCCACAAGGCCGTCATCGAGGTGAGTCCTGAGTGCGGGGGAGGGGGAGGGGGAGGGTCAGTGGCGGCGTGGCGTCTCAACGCGGTGCTCTTGCGCAGGTGGCCGCTGCCGCGGGCGACGACGACGACGACGAGGACGAGGATGAAGACGAGGACGAGGACGACGAGGATGACATCGACGACGAGGACATGGACGGTGCCATCCCGGACCCGAGTGACCTCCACGTCGACAAGATGCCCGCCATGCACCGGCCCGCCATCGTCAAGAGCAACGCCAGCCCGGGGGCCGGCTCCTCGAACAAGGCGAGCGTCGACGTCCCGAGCCAGGGCGCTCCGGGCGCTCCGAGCCGCCCGCACAGCCAGGGCGGCCGCTTCCGGCCGCACACGCCGGAGTACGGCAACATCGACGACCTGCTGGAGCCCAGCAAGTCCAGCACCCACTGGGGCACCTACCCGAGCGACGAGAGGTGAGCGCTCCGTCTAGGCTTCGCTTCGATATCTCTGGGAGCGCCTGGAGGGTAGGCAGTCCCGTTGCGCTCCGCCATGCCCGTGCTGCCTACCTCGCAGGCGCTCCCTCTGCCGCGGAGACTGTTACTGTGATGCGTTGTCCTTGGTGGTGCTGACGCCGACCTTCCCGCAGGCTGCTGGAGCTGGACAGCAAGAGCTCGTCGATGGCCAACTCCAAGTCGGGCCGCGGGCGGCGCGTGCGTGGGCTGGCGAGGCACAGCCACGGCGCGCACGCCGGGGACGACCACGCGGAGCACAGTCACGGCCAGGGCCAGGGCCGCCGCGTCCGCCGGGGCTTCGGCTACGAGGGCGCCCTGGCACTGGGGCTGGGCGGCGTGGACCCCTGCGAGCGCGAGCACGCCGGCACGGGGCCCGGCGCCGCCACCGCCACCGGCGCCCTGCACCTCTTCATGGGCTGCTCCACGCAGGACACGATGGAGTTCAGGAGGGACTGCGGCGCGCCCGAGCCGGACGTCGTGTCAGGTACGTCTCGCGTCGCGTCGCGATGCCTTGAGCCTGGCTTTGGCCGACGAGCTTGTCTGACGGTGTGGCCTCTCCTGCCCGCAGCCTACACGTGCCACGGCCGCTGGGAGCAGAACGGCACTCACTTCCTCATCACCAGCCCGCTGCCGCGGTCCTCGCGGGGCGCGCGCCGGCTCTGCTTCGCGTACCGCGAGCACCAGGGCGTGCTGCACTTCTCCTCGAGCGGCGAGTCCTGCCCGCGAGTGGCGCCGGGCTACGGCGGGTCCAGGGGCAACGCCAACGCCGCGGGCATGGGCCTGAGCATGGGCATGGCCATGTCGCACGCCTCGGCGCCCGCGCCCTTCACCTTCAACGTCACCAGCTCAGGTAGGAGAGAACGCGGCTCCCTCTCCTTCGTTTTCGTACGACTTTCCTTTGTTTCGTTGACGTCGATTCGACCTGACTGACCGTGTGACTGACGTTCTTCTTGTTCGGCAGGCGAGTGCTCGGACACCAGTCGAGGCACACCCACCGTGTCTGCGAGCAGATTGCTGTCGTCGTGCGTCGCCGCCCTTGTGATATTAATGGCTACCCTGAGGTGATGGTCGCCCTTCCCTTAGCCAGTTACTCTGAGGGAAGCACAAATGTTTCTAGAGTAGGTAAACGAATGTCAGTTTGTTTAGTTTCTATCTTGCAGTGTGATGTGTATGACATTATGAGCACCTCTCTCTCTATCTCTCGTCTTTTGTTTCGTATTTTAATCTTTTCATTTGATGCTTTGATTTGCCAGTGCTCATTTTAGGGCAGTCTGGCAGTATGTCTTCTAGTTAGTGTACATGACTACCTGAGAAATTATGTAATGTTTTGTATGTTCTTCTTAACTTTAACTTCAGAAAAGGGTTTATACAATGATGCGATCATGTGATATTGACACTTCTTTGCTGAGGAGGAGTCAGGACAGTTTATTCTGAATCTTGTAAAGGAATGAATTTGTAAATCTATTTAGAACTTCTACATATTTATCACATTTGTTTTGTGTTTTTAGTCTGTTCCTTTTGGGAGTGGGTTGGATGTAGATAAAGCATTTATTACCAATATCATAGATTAACATTGTATGAATGAATAAGAAAGTTTTTACGGGTGAAAACAAATTAAAAGGATAATAGTCATGGTGTGTAAATAACAGATCATTTTGGAGTAAATGTTTACTATTATTAAGTGCCACTGTAAAACGCTGCTTTGCAGGCAATATCATTGAGTCATTTGAGTATAGTTTCATTCATACTGAGGAGACTCTAACCAGCCAGCAAAGTTATTAAAATTGTGATATTAATTTTGAGATAGGTTCAAACTTTGTAAGAAAATTTCTGTAGGGAAATTTTCCTGATCTTAAGAGAGAAGAGGTTGTCAACTATGGCTGAATATTATAAGAATGTGAGTATCTGCAATAGAAGTCTTATGGTGCTAGAAAAATTGTCTGATCACTTTGGAGTGGTTAAGTTACAATTAGCTTTTTGGAACCGTTGTTTGTGATTTGGTTGTAGAGTCAGACTATCTGGGAAACAGGTACAGCACTTTCTCGTGGCAATAATAGGATAAACAGGTGGAGAAGTTGATCACAAAGTAGGACTGTGTGGCATGCTCATGTCCTGTCTTAATGAGTAAAAGTTTCATTTAGAAGAATATAAGAGCAAATAAGTACTTTTGTTTTCCGCACTCTTATGTTTACCACTCACTCAGGAAGCAAAGAATTTCACTGAGCGCACATGAATTTTAATTAAGTTCACTTAAATTGTGAGAAGACTATTCTGTTAACACTGTTAAAATATGAACGTATGTTTGAAATGACTAAAAGCAACAGTCTGTGAGATCAGTTTATTTTAAGACATTTTTCGATAGAAATTTATAAATAACAGTGTTATCAATATTCATAGCATTCTATTATTATGAATATAGTGCACTTTTGTACTATGGTATTGTAACTTTTGGAGGTAGGTACTTTTCAATTACTTCAAAACCCTGAAAACTAAGCAATAAGTTATTTATGTCATACATAATTTCAAGTTACCCTTGCTTTGTATCCATGCATTGATATCTTTCAGGGAGTGAAATTTCTCTGATTTAGTTAAAATTAATTGGCATGAATCATTTATTTTCAGATTTCTTTGTAAGATAATTTGTATCTTCTTGAAGAGGTTTAATAGTGAAATGTTTGTGCCTATTGTTTTTGTTCTTCCAACTTTTTTTTATTTTTTAAATTAAGTTTGGATCTTTATGTTACAAGCTTGATCTTTGTTGCTATGAAGAAAAAGTAGGTCATCCATTGCGATGAAATCATTCTTTGTTAAGAGATGGAATCAAAATGTGTTAAGAGGTGTGAGCATGATTGAGGGTGCAAATTGACCAATTTGGAGACAGGCTGAAATACTGAGTAGGAAGGGTGGTTTGATTGTTCTACGTACCTGGTGTCATACTTGAGAAATATTTGTACTGGTGATTATGTTAGGAATGAATACTTCAATGCAATGAACCAAGCTGGCTTTTTATCACAAATACATACTATTGAAAAAATTCCTTTTGAGTTTACATTTTATCTACACCACAAGAGTTTTCTCATTTATGAAATGAACTGGTTTGTTTCAGTTTTAAGAAAAGTAGTAATGTCACTGTGAAACACAATCATTTTCATGATAAAATGTGCTTCTAGTGTGAGTGAAGAGTGAAAGAAGTTATGTGTGTGCATGGGTGGGGGATGCATGTGAATACTGGAAACAAATGTGTGAGCAATGGAATTCTGATAGAATATGGGTGTGCATATGGGTCTGTTGGTGTGATTGACTGCATTCACTATGTTAGTTATTGTATATAGCTCATTGTATTGTATAGTGTTATGGTTTTGCTACAACAGCAAACGATCAAAATGAATGAAATTGTTTAGAGACAAAATGTTATCTGGTGCTGTTGAAATTCCCTGTGGGGAGGATAGGCAAGTGCTGTTTGTAATGAACTAATCATTAGTTGATCTTTTATTATGAAGTTATATGTTATTTACTTTGCGAACAAAAGCACAAGTTTTCTTAGTTTCCTTTTCTAATATTATTTTTACTGGACAAAGTCTTGTAGCTCTCTTTTTCTAAAATGTAGTTACACAAGTAATGAAAGTGCACATATTATGCTGATCAAAACTGCAAAAAAAGAAAAATGCTGTCACTGATGACATACAGCAGTAATAAAAGTATATTTATATAGCTGCTTAGAAAGGGTACATTTTAAGAACAATTATCTCGAGCAATAAACTAAGACTTGCTGTGGAAATGATTACATATGGAGGGAATCCATTGTTACTTTGTTGTATGTTCCAATAAATGTGACTTTCTCAAAATTTAAACATGAGCATGAATTCTTTTATTTATTTGCAACTCTACAACCCTAAGCAATAAACGAATAACAAAATTAAATATAACAAGTAATCCTTCCCCGGCCTTCCCTAGAGCCCTCCCTAAACAGTTTTGCTTACGACAAATTTGTCATCGAAGTAGCCTCGCGCCACCCCCCACTGCACGAACCGGCCAATAACGAGAGGGGACGAAAAGCCGCGAGAGTGCTGCTTTTTGGATTTGACTTTCCTGCGTGTTGCCAGAAGAGCGTTTTGACTTAAAACTCCAAAAAGTTGTCAAGTGCAACGAGTCTAAATAGCTGTCTGAACATTCAGGCGTGACATTTGTTGCGTTGCTGACCCGAGTTTCATTGCGAGTTCCGTTTCCACATCAAGGACGGACCCGGCGCAGCGCCGGCCTAACCTCATGTTTACACAAACATCCGACAATATTGTCATTTTACATTGTTGTTAGCGGTTAGTTTGTCACGGATATGGAGCAAGTGCGCCCATGTTATCGGGAAGTTATCCCCGACCAGACTGTGCCAGAGAAATGGAAGGATTTCACTTTGAATACAGGTACTCACAATCACTCGTTAACTTGTTTTAAGTGCTTTGATATTTAAATTGAGTCTCCTAGACATATTATTAAGCGAGGAGCTATTGGGCAATTCTTAATTTTGATAATGCTTATTTGTTTGCTGGTGGTCAATTCGTATTTTTCAAGAGTTAAACACTTTTCATTCGTTCCTAACCCTACTATGGCACATTTTACTCCATTCTCTCCATTGAAACATTTCCTGTCTGCTTACAAATAAAAACAATCAACGTTCCCTCCCCATTCTTTTGTTATGATTTCTATCTTTTAGGTATATTGTTGTGTGTAACTTTATCTAAGTTTGTTTGTTGCCTGATGCAGGAGGCACTCAAAGTACTCTTCAGGACATCAAGGTTCCTCAAAGAGCGGGTGGCTACAGCTATAAGGACCCTTCCAAGGCATATGCTAGGAATCGCTACATCTATTGGTAGGCTACTGAAGTAATGACCTGCTCAATGTATTTCTCTTGTGATTCATTTTATCCCATTTCCTCTTGCAGGCGTTTGTACGATGACATCCTTGAGTTGGTTGAGCACAGTTTAGATGTGAATCTGGTGGGCAACCAAGTGCGGTACAAATTTCAAGATTCACCTGTACTTGAAGGGCTAACTATTCATGAGACACAACAAGGCATAGTGGTTCTTGTGTGCACAGTATCCAGCATACATAGACTTAAATTTACATACCATGATCGGGGTAACAGACAGGTATGTTATCGGATATGCATGAGCCACCCTGCACTTGCTCCAAAGAATCATCAATTTCTTATCACTTTGTTTATTTTTAGGGTTTTGTATGGAATCAGCAATCTGATTCAAGTGTACAGTCTGTCTTTGCCAATGCTCCTGATGCCCGAGATCCTGCTACTTTTTATGTCATTAGCAATAATGCTACAAGTATGAACCTCAATTTATTAGAGTGTACATTTTAGTTTTCAAAATAAGGAAGATTTTTTTATCTCAATGTCTTAATTGTTTCAGACACATTGATGCCTTATTGTTCAGCATCCTGGTTGTGCTCTAATAATGATGCACTTTTTGCATTGGCTTACACCAATGGAACTATTCTTTTGGCTCGACATAATGACTTCAATGGAACAGTTGCTACTCAGGAGCTGAAGCAGGAGTCTTTGACGTCTCGTCTCTTCTTTTTGCCTGGTGCTCTGCGTGGACGCTCCAACGAAGAAAATGTTGTGGCTAGCATGACTCTACATTCCTTTGGGTCCGATACATATTTATTTTGTCTGGGTCGCAGTGGGCAACTTCGAATTTGGTCATGTGGCAGAGGACAGTGCATTTCAGTATCTGATGTCCTTGATGACGCTGCAGAACAGGGTAGAAATATGACTCAGGGTGCGCAGAGCCATGTCCTCAAGAAGGCTGTCGTTGCAGGAGGAAATGACAATGACTTGCTCTTGGGTGTGTTTCTGTGCTTTGCCTCTGAGTGTCAATTTGTAGTACTACAAGTGACCTATTTATCAGGCAGTTTCCGGCCAAGTCGTCTTTTTAGCATCCGAGCACCCTCTGTAAGTCCAAGACACACACTTGCATTTGCTTACACTGTATCCGTTCCAGAAAATGATCGTAACCTAATATTTATTTTCAGGGTCAGGACCTTGTGGACTTTGCATTGTGCCAATCACAGCTCTGGGCAGTTTGGCGAAACACCCAAGGAGACACCGCAGTGTCTACTGTCAATATTCGGCCTTCTCCAGCAGGTGTGGATACATATTGGCGGCCTGCTGTGCTGGAGCCAGGCCCTGATCGGGAGTTTGTTGTTAATGATACAATGACAGATCCTAGACAAGCTTATGTATCTTATGTATTTCACCCGGGTAGATTTTCACTTCATGTTATCGTCAAAGCCCTGAGTGTAAGTCAATCTATTTGAATCTTTTGGTAATTTCATTCTTTTGCTTTCCTCATGTAGTTCAGTCTCTTTCAATCCATTTGTATTTGCAGATATTCCGTCGCTGTCCTGAATTGTTTATGAATGAAATGATTACCTTAAATACCTTCAATCTAAAAGAGCGTGTCTGTCAGGCTGTAGAGAATGAAATTCAAAATGAGTTTTCTGATGAAGAATATCTTGAACTACAGAATGATGTTTCTGATGAAGAATATCTAGAGGTTGCCAACAGATGTTGGGGAAAGTTTTACTCTTGTTGTATACAATACCACTTATCTGGTAGTCGCCCGATAGGATTGGTGCTTTTATCTCCAAGTGGTACAAGTCAAAATAATTCTCAACCAACATCTGGAGTAGCTCTTGTCAACAAGTCTTATGTGTCTCTTCTGAGGCCAATGGATCCACTGGAGATGTTGTTCACAGCTGGCCTCGGACAAGAAGCTAATTCTGAATTCATGGGTCTGAGTAAGTTTCATTCAGTAAAAAGAGTTACAGTAATAATGAGATCCAGTATTGAAGATTAAAATACTTGAGTCCTGCAGGACTATTTCTTGACTTTCTTGTATAATTTATCTTGTTATTTCAGATGCTGATGCATCCAACCTAGTTCAGGTCATAAATATGTTGGAACTGCGTCTTAGTGAAGACATAAAATCAAGTGTTGAACGAGACTTGTATCGCTTACTCAGCCCAGAAGTGGTCATTGGGAAACTTGCGCAGGAGCTTCTTCAAAGTGACTCTATGTCTGAGGTATATTGTAGTTTGTGAGAAGTTGATTCATGTCCTTACACTCAATATCAGATACTTATCTTTTTTCCGCCCTTTTTTTTCTTTGAATGTTTAAATTTTACAGGAGTTTGGCTTTGATCTCATGGACCTTGAGCAGTATTTGAGAAACATTGTAAACATACCTGCTGCAATTGATTACCTTCTCCAGCGCTTGTTTTTGTCCCCTATCATGGATATGGACCAAAATTCTTATGAATTGCCATGTGAGTCAATTAATTGATTCTTTAAACTGTTTCCATTCATGAACAGTGGAACCTTAATTCACTGAACTTCTCATTACAGCTTTTGATATGGCTCGGCAACTGTTGTCAGTTGGACAACTCTTCAGCAGTCACATTGGCATTAGCACTATAGCTGAAACGACTCGTCAAGTGGCCGTAATGAGGTAGGTTCATACATTAGCATTTCATCTTCACTTGTAATGTATGGAAATTTTTCTCTTATTGTACTCAATCAAATATTTAAACCTTTTTTTTAGGTTCTCCCTCTGTCGGAATTTGTTACTGCTGCAACATATTATTCTTCAATTAAGTGAGGAACATAGCTCTGTTAGTATAAACCACGAACTAAAAAATCGTCTGATGCCACAGACAGTTACTCTCATTCAGGCTTACTTAGTAATGGTTTGGATTTGTCAAACACCTGCATCACCAATTGTTAAACCAAATGTGTTGTAAGTACTATGCAACAAACATAAAATTTAACAAACTTAGTCTGTTTATTTTTTTGTTATTGTAATAATTGTGCATTGTTTCAGGGAAAATAGTATTCAGAGAATGTCCATTCTCCAACTCACTGACGTCAGTGATACAGCTGCTGCCGCTGCCGCAGTGCTTGGTTCAGTTCGAGGAATGCAGAAGTCTTACTCCCTGCTTGAACTGTTTCTTCAGGCAACTGGTGTTCATCAGGTCCATAGATATATGGCAGCCTCCAGCCTTGATGCTGACCACTCAATGCTCTCATTTGTGGCTCTGCTATCAAAGCTGATGTATCCTTTCTGGAGGGTTTCCCTCAAACTGTATATATATATTCCATTTTGACAGTATGAACAATGTTGTTTTCTTAATAACTATCTAGATGGCCAATCACAAATCATTTCATCTTCCCAGAATTTCTTTTATCATCTTGTCAACATCTACTCGTGCAGGAGTATGTTCGTCTTCTGAGCAAGTGGTGTGAATCAAACATCTGCTCCAGTAAGTGCATGTTCACGGGGCTAATAAAACATACCTATGTGGTTTGGTCTTAGCCAGATCATTTATATGGTTTTCTTTTGTTTTCTCCTAGGAAAGTTTCTGCTTGGCTCAGCTCTTCTTGATATGGGCGAAGCTCACAAAGCCGTTGACCTCCTTGTTGATGCATCAGTTGGTTTACGAACAGAACAGCGTGGCAGAAGAGAACCCTTCCTGGAGGCAATCGTGGGAACCTCAGAAGAATATTCAGAAAGTCGTCTGTTGGTTACTTACTTGTTAAAGGTTTGCTTTTTAAGAACAAATAGAGTACTTTTGTGATTGTCACTGTTATCAACGCAACTGATTTGTGTGTACATCTGTCGTCTTGTTTCAGGTTATTCAAATGTTTGAACAACAAAATTGCCCTGACTGTGTCATTCAACTCGCTGAAATTGCTATTCGGGAGGCAGAGAGAGATGACCCAGATTTGGTATGTCCGTATTATTTACATGGAACCAATTTCATCTTTGTGAATTACTTCATTGTTTTTATTTTCTGTGATTTCAGCCTACTCTTCATTCAATTGCTTTTGTGAATCATTTAAGATTAGAGCATCACCAGGAGGCCTATCAATCCCTCAACTCAAATCCAGACAGTGCACGTCGAGTAGACTGTCTGAGGCAACTGGTTGTTAATCTGTTTGAGCTGCGCAGGCTTGATCTTCTGCTTGAGTTTCCCTACGAAAATCTTGTGCAGGATCTTGAAAGAATTGTAGAATCAAGGGCTCGGTCTTTAGACATTACTAATCCTTCATTTTATAATTTCCTGTATGCATTCCATATCAAGAAACTTAACTTCAGAAAAGGTAGCTAGAACCACAATAATTGAATACTTGACTTAGCATCATAGATGGCTGAGGACTTTTAAACATGTGTTATGTTTCCATTCCAGCCGCCACTGTCATGTATGAGCAAGGCATGCGCCTAGGGTGTGAGGGAACACATTCTGCTGAGTTGACTGAACGACAGGCCAAATGTTACTTAGCATGTTTGAATGCTCTTCAGTTAGTGGAGCCAAATTATGCATGGATTGTGAAGCCAGTGGTGTCCAGTGAGGCTGATGAGGACATTACTGGGATGAGTCCAAAGCGAGGGAATGATGGAGAAGAGGTAAGGAAGCACTTACATTCAAAGGTCATATTTTTGTCTTGAACCAGTAGTTTGAAACAGGCATTCCATTTCATTCTGCACAATTTGTCTTTACAGTTAAATAAGCCTGAATGGAGAAGAGAGGTTGATGTCATGGAAATTTGTCACATCCGAAATGAATATGAAGTAGTTCAGTGTCGATTAAGGCTTCTAAGACATTCTCCTGACAAGTACAAACGCACAGGTAGTAAATAGAATAAGACCAAAACACAAATTCAATTGCTTTCACTTTATGTTTGTAAACTGTGATTTGAAATATGGTACTTTTCTTTGTCTTAGGATGTCGCCTTGCTCCAAGTGAGTTAGTTGCAGTTTTGTCTCAAGTTGGCATGTATCAAGCTGCAATAAAATTATGCAAAGCTCACAAATTAAAATTCCAGCCTGTTCTTGAATGTCTTGCATCTGCCTGTGTAAGGTTGACAAACATAGAAAGTGCGAATAGAGATCCTACTGTCGCGTGGGAATGGCTTTCTGAAAATGATTTACGAGGTGAGTGCCTTATATCCTCAATCCATTTCAATTAGGTTTGCAGACCAAGCATCAAATGTTAAGATTTTCTGTAAATCATGCTTGTTTTTAGGTTTGGGCATTGATGAGGGCAATCCAGTAAAACTAGCCTGGCGTTTGTTACAAGTAATATTGATGAACTGTGAAGAAGAAATGCAAACTGCTCTTCACAAGGCAGTATCCAGCAGATTATTAGCTTTAGGTGTTTTCCTCCCGAATTGGTTGGTCACATCGTACAAGGTAAGTCTTCAATTCACATATGATGATTACCAGAGCTGTGGAGTCAGCGTTCTCATAAGCTCACTGTGTCTGATAATTCTCTGGTATGGCTTTCAGGAGAGGAATCTCCCAGAGCTTTTGAGGCTTCTTTTAGGAAGCGGCCGTTTGATTGAGGCAGGATTCTTAGCACTGGAGTGCCTCCAAGCGGGGAAAGATAAACTTAGCCTGAGGGGGCTCATTGTTAGCCCTACCTGTTTGCCAATTAGGACTATTGAAATTTTATGTCTTGAGTTACAACAAGTTACTGATAATGATGAAGAGTATAAAAAGGTATGTGCTGCTAGTGTAATTTAGATTCCCTTTTTGTTCAGTTTAATCTTTTAAGTCTTATCAAACCAACAAAACTCTTCAAATTTGATTGTCTGATTTCAGCTTTATGATGAGGTGTGGAACTCCTACAATGAATACCTTGACAACGCAGCTAGGGCTTCAAGAGAAGCAACACAACTCCGAGTCCATTAGCTTCCTAATCAGTAGACAAACCTGTGTTATTTTCTAAAAATGTACTTATATTGCAAGTCATGCTAATCAATCAATTAATATTTCCCAATTTTGTATTTTTTTCTTCTTTCAAGTAGTTTTTATTTATTTTTTTAAAAAACATTGTGCTGTTGCTTATGATTTATTGGCGAATAAAAATTTTATAATCACTGCGTTGCACTTCCATCAATAAATTCATTTGCAGTACTCAGATAAAATTCTGCCTGAACCTACCGACTCCTTTCGTCTTGGTGCATAATCATGCATGCCTGTAGAAGACTGCGTTGACAGAAGACTAGTCTCCTGATGCTTGCAAGGCGGGACTTCACTACAAATACTGCTTCACAGTTACCTGTGCCTATCTGCTGAAACCCAGAAATTAAATCCGTTCAAACTTCGCGCCACAAACTCATCGATCCGGATCTCTGCCGGTGACTGCCTTGTGTCTTCCCGTGGCGCGAGTGTCTGCCTAGCAGACGTCTTTTCTCTGTCATGACACACTACAGATGCATAGTTTTGTGATGAAACATCAGTAAATCCCGTCTGTTTACATTTTCAGACTGAAGTTTGATAGGTATCAACAGTTGTGAACTGAAGATTGTGCACCTGTCTCAAGGTATTGGATTAATTTCTCTTTTGGACACCTTACGTACAGTTCCGCTTTATAAACAGAAATGTCAAAAACTGGACCATTTCTGATGTGACTTTGAGAACATAATTGTACCAATAGATACTCCTGAAAATTCCTCGGACGCGTCTTCACTGTTGTTATTATTTTGCATACTTATGTTTTATGACTTCTCGCTTCCTAAATATTCATTCGGGTAAACAATAACGATCGAAGATAGGTTAGGTTGTTTGTCCTTGTGTAGAAACCAGATGCCATTCATTCTCATGTTCCATTCAATTTTTGCTTCCGCTTTCCTTGGTGGCATACTTTTATTTGAATCGTTTTTGTAATACAGGCGTAAATGTTGATTTAAGTATCCACTTGTTCCTAAATCAGTTTATTTATTTACCCATTTATTCCAACTCTTTAGTTGATTTTATGGTTGTTTTCATTTTGATTATATTTAAACAACAAGGTTCTGTGCACTTTTTTTACAGATGCCAGGTAGCGGACCAGTGTATCAGCCAACAACTGTCAGTTACGAACAGCATGGGCCGTCTGGTTACCTTAGCCAAACTGTTAGCCAGGGTCTACGGTGAGCCCATGCAAAATAATGCTGATCTATATGTATTTTGAATATTGAACCAAATACTAACATTATGTTTGCTTTATTTTCTATTTCAGGGGGGCTAGGTGTACACAATGGCTCCTCCTTATTTTGGGTTTATTTTCATTAGCAGCTGGTCTGATTATGGTAATTGAGGGTGCTGTGGACATAGGGAACAAACATCAACATGAAATAGACTCAAGTAACAGTAATTTACCGGAAGGTGAATCTACAGGTAAGGGCACACATTCATTATGTTGAGACTTTATTTTGACAATCTCATGTTATTAATTATGTAATTGTGTGTTTTTCAGATTTGGTGATTTTGATCATTGGTGCCATCCTAATGTTGATTGGACTCCTGATGTTATCATATTATGTACGAGCCGAGAGACGTCGCAAGAATTGTCCTTGCTTCCCATCTAAGGAACAGCGCATGGCACGCCAACTCCGAGAAAATCAAGCGGGCAATGGACAGGTGGGGCCTCGTACTAAAGGGACATCCTGTGGACATCGGCACCATGAACGGCACCATGCATGTTACATATACTTGTATATTGTAGACAATTTTATCAATTTTATGAAAAGGAAAGAATTGAAGAAAACTTAATTGTTCAAGCTACTAGTTCTAATTGAAACTAACCTACATGAAGTTATTTTAATGTTACTTTGGAGACTTGTGTTTCTGCAGGACTGATGAAATTTGTTTGGTACATTTGTTGCACATCTTTGTTTATTATCCGTGGTATTCGTTTGTCTTTTTTAGATGTAGTTGTTTGGTCAGGCTGGTGTAGGCAACAGTTAATATATTATTTCTTACCCATTTCTGTCATGTAGCCCATTTGCTAGCTTTGCCACATCAGCTTTTATGTAATTTTATTCATATTAAATTTTGGTTGGTGTCTTTTGAACTTGATTTTTAGTAGCATTTATAGAAGCCTTGAGGAAAATAAGTGTAGCCGTTAAAATTTAATTTGTAAAGCATTGATTTTTGGTTAATTTTTTTAAAAACAATGTTGTGCAACAAATGGCCACTCTGAACAAAGTATGCCATTGCAGATTTTGACGCTGAACCCGTCTACCGACCTGCTGGTCACTGCGCAGTATGCCCCAGTGTCGGAGGTCGCGTATCAACCTCCCAACCTGGTTGCTGATGAAGAGGAACGACGCAAGTTAATGGGCAGTGATAATAAAGACTGGTGAGTTAAAAGTTCAGCTAGCTTTCATAGGGTTGTGTTTGACCGCAAATGAATGTTTGAAGTTGTCAGATTAATTTCCTTAAAGTTTTGTGTGGTTATCCATGCTTAATAACACTATTGTAGATGTGTTGTTTCCTTTAATTTAACAAACTAACTTAGATGTATGTTGTGTGCATGTGTTTGTCGCTCACAGCAACGAAGAGAGCGAGCGCATGCTGGAGCCTGACCCAAGGATTGTCCTCCGTCCCCTCAGCAAAGTTGAAGAAGCCTAGCAAGACGAAAGAGGTATGATTTTTGGTTCACCTAACACCCTACAACATTTTAAAACAAATGTTTTTGCCTTGATTCTTTTGATTTGACATTAAAATTGTTCGGTGTTTTTAAAGTGCCTGAATTAAATGCTTGCATTATCCTTCAATAACTCATGATTTTTGTTCTTTGATTCCAGCGTATTGGGACGATGCAGCAGCGTGGGAAAGGCTTCTGGATACCGAAACTTCCGACGACAACGTAAGATTTCGATGACCAACTTCAGAAGACCCCCATCAGTTGGCTCTGGTCCTAGTATAGCTCCATTGGCATGTGGCGAAGAGATAACCCCTTCATTACGGTCGTCCTTCGCTAGTATATACTATAATATGACACCATATGACTCAAAACTTTCTTTGGATGAAGAGGATTCTTCATCAGTGTGTAGTGACATGCTGTGACGTGTTGGTTGTGTTTAGCATTTAGTCATGTGTGTCAGTTTTCCTATTGCTTATTTGTGCATGACTGATCCTTTTTTTTTTTTTTTTTTTCTCAAAACTAAAAGGAAATCAGTATCACATACCTCAATTTTACAGCATGATTGAAGAACTTTTGAGCACTTTTGTTAACACAAGAGTTTTGAAACAGTAAATTAAATTTTGCACTTAGACATTATAGGTTGGAAGAGTCTGTGATCTGACTGTGGAGCATATTAGTGTTATGCTTCCTTATTTGTGTAAGGGATGGTTTCATTGCAGCTTGTAATCTTTTATTTTTTTGCAACTACGCATGAAATTGTGCTTGAACTTACATAATTACACTCATTGCTTGCATTGTAAGCAACATTATAAACAAGTCCTACACTCATCTCTCAAATAGCTAATGGCACAAACTGTATGCATCCAGCATTTGCTACAATATTTGGCCAGATTTTCCTTGCCAATTATTTATTTGCACTCCAAAGTGCATCAGAAACCTGCTTCCTTTCATCTTGCTAAACTTCCTCTTGCCATTTTTCTTACTCATCAAAAAAAAAAAAAGTTAGCAGTAGAGCTAGATCTATCTTTCAGGGTTACCTGGTAAAAGTAAATAGTATGAATGGTGAAAGCATTCATGGTTACCATATCTTACTGGAATGTCGTGAGTTACTCTTAGCTGAGGTAAAATTCAAGTCATTGTTGGACTTAAAGAAAAAATGTCTTATAGCTAACTTAAAAAGTAATTGTAATGTTTGGAACTGAACCGATGTATGTATGTTAACTGGTAAGGCTCGGCCTCCAAGTCTCTCTAATGTTAGTATTTTAAAGAGCTACCATGAGTAACATTTGATGGCCTATGCTGTCTTCATAACATAACTGACTGAACTGAAGGTTTATACAAAATGTTCAAAAGCATAAATTTTACATCACATTGCTGAAAATGACAGTACAAACGTAAATTTAGCTGACCACAAATCAGGTTTGCATAATACTGTTAAGAAGTTAATTTTAAATTTGACTTTTATTGCTAAACTGTGTACTTAAGCAATCCTGTCTTCAAGGATAAGCCACTTTCTTTCTTCCTAGTAAAATTGAAATTTCTTTATAATTTTTACCTTTCAATATTGATTGAACTTTTGAGGAATGATCTATTCATAACTTGTACCTGCATCTATGGCACAGCAATCATTTAATTTCTGTGCTTCAGTATTTGAATAGTGTAATGCAGTTGGTCCAATAGATAGTATTATTTATAATTTTGCTAATAGTGTCTCATATTTTAGATCTGTTGTTTTATTTAAATGATTTCCTCTGTTTTCTTTTAATTCTTTAAAAAATGTTTGGCCTTTTGGTTTTGTTTTCTTTAAAGGCAGTTGACAACCTGGTTGTGATTTGGATGCGGCACATGAGTAACTTATCAGTATTTGGAATCTTGAATTATGATTTTGTTGTGACTGTCCTGTCTTATATGTCTGTTTTTCCTTTTTATTTTATTTTATTTTAGATTTTTATTTTGTTTGACTTGGCAAATTCTCTTCATGTCCGAAAGCACTTTTAACTCTGAAACCTCATTACCTTAGTGTACAGTAGTGTACAGTGAAGCTTCTTGAACTTTGTACAATGGCTTTAAGAAATTTGTAAATTCGTTTCCTTGTAAAAGTAGAATGCCAGGCAACTGCATGAATTGTAGCGTTCATTATTCCATAGTCTAGTTTATTTTTCTGTTATGAATTATTAGAATCCATGTAATAGAATCATGCATGAGAATGAGATAGAAACCAAATTTGGAAACAAAAGAATCTCTTCATACATAAACTTCTGTATAATAAATTGTTTGATTCAACATTAATGTACTGCCTTTTTTTGCCTCAAACAGAGACTGCTTTTTAAAATAATGTACAAGCCCTTTTGCAATGTTAAGCGTCTTTATGTTTTGTTTCACTTTAAGAATACCATGATTAAAATTTATTATTAAACTTTGACTTACTGGTAAATCACTTACCCTTCTGGTTCTTCCCTCAGTACACCAACAAAAAGATACCACCTTGAGACTCAATGGCAAATAGAAAAAGTTTTCCATATTGTGAGATTCATGCCCATTCTTTGTTGGAACACATGCCAGATCGTAGGCTCCACTGGCAAAAAAATTCTGCTGTCTTTGCGTATTGAGCCACTTAAACCCACATCTCACTACAGGCTCCACCAGGACCTCGGTTTGAGCCAGTTCAATGCTAGTTCGTGTGAAAAACAGCAACAAATTGGGAGTGGTCTTAATCTACAGTTCACCTTTTCTCAAAGACAAAAGACAAATGTGTTTTTATAAAAGTTTAATTTCAAAAATTTTTGTGAATTATGAACTACTTGACTTACAAGTAAATTGCCAAATCCAGAAGCCCATCACAGCCTGGGCTACATCAGCCCACAATAGTTGTAAACTTAACATAAAAATTAAAATGGAAACAAGAATGTAGGTAGAGTCTATAAGAAGATACTCATTGACTTGATTGGTTCATCTATATGTAAACATTGCCAAAGACATTTGACCATACAAATTCGCAAGACCAACTCTTTATGAACAGAATATAATAGAAATATATGCAATGGCGTAGTCCATTTGTGTTGTGGTTTAGCCTTGTAAGCATTCTCTTTTGCGCATACTATGTACACCACTGCAAATGTGCAATCTAAAATTAAGGACGGAGACAACATGATGCAGTCAAAAGAGATGAAAAGAACAGTATGGTCCAAAAGCTACAAAAATCGGAACGACAAGACTTCACTAATGGTTTCCAGCATTGAGCTTTCTAGGATTTGTGGAATAAATATATTTAAAAAAGTACAGTTTAATTCATTTTGCCTCCTTCATTGGCAATACAGTTAAAAGAGAAATTACTCTTCAAAACAATAATCCTACAGCAGAAACACTCCTTATATAAATTAAAAACAACTAATAAGATTTATGATTGGAAATAAAAGAGCCATTTTCACAACAGCCCTGGTCTACATCAGTCAGTGTATAATGAAGTAAAACAAAATCAAACAGTAACCCAAGAGCAGCAAAGCACTGTTTACTTGGAACTGCACAGCTTCTATTTGGCTTAGTTACAATTATTGCATTCATCACAAGCTATGAAAGGTTATGCATTTCACAACATATAGGCACTTAGGTGCTGAGTACCCTGATTATGTTTTCACCATTGCAGATAAAATTATAACAATTTTGATCATAGTGCTTAGTCTATATAAAGACCCCTAAATTAACATTTAAAAGAATTTTTTTTTTTAAGAGAGAAGGAATAAATTGGTAAAATTATTTCATATCCAATGAAATTTACAGTAAAAGTTAATGTAAAGTGAGGAACAAAATTAATGAGCTAAGTGCTAGACTAATAAAGTCTGATCTAAACACATTTGAACTGCTACTAAGATTGGCACGAAGTGGGGCAGCTTTGCAGTCACAAGGAGTTACCTTGAGGACATAATCAAACATTGCTTGCACAATGTTGGCAGGAGTTGGCTCTTTGCACTGTTCTAATTCCTTCACGACACAACGACGCACACTGCACACATCCCTGAAAATGTTTCAGAAATTCATTAAGATTAGATTAAAAGTTAAGGGTCATTAACAGTAATAAATTACATCAATGAAACTTACTTGCACTCTTCTGTTCCCATAATCAGTTGAGGCAAATCGAAGACGTTAGGGGTGCCACTTGGGAGGTGCTTGCCAAATGTAGTATTGACACAATGCATTACAGCCTCCTTCTTATCAGACAAGCACTCAGGACCACTTTCAGCAATAAACACTACAAGGAATATATTGGGAATAAATTACTTTAAAAAATGGCATTTACCAGAGGAGGCGTGAATATAATAACACTCACGTGCAATACGATCTCCTTCCTTGTAGCACACAAAACCCAAGAGCTGCTTAGTGACATTGTGAATAAGCTGTTTTGAGCCACGCTCAGCCTCAGTTAAACACTGGTTTGATGCATTAACAAAGTCCATAATGCACCCTTCCAAAATTGGAGATTTTCTGCAAGTATGAATGAAATGACATTACGCAAAGCTCAAAAGTAAGAAGTTCTGTCTTGTCAATCTTGGAATAGGGCCATGAACCATTTACTTGCAATATTTTCGGAAAACTTCATCCAAGTCACCGGTTGGTTTAGCCTTTTCCATTTCCTCGGTTAACTGCTTAAAATCAATAAGGCCTCGCAGACACTGTTCAGCCTCGCTCTTCGCATTCTGAAAAACCAAACCACATTGTAGAACATTCATCCAAAGGCAATACAATTTTTAAAATCATGAACAGCATGCATACCTTTGCCGCATTGAAAGCTTCTTCTCCACCAATCCTTACACACTTTTCCCTGAGGACTCTCTCAATTTCAGCAGGGTCCGGTAAAGCTGATTTGTTGATGGGCAAATTCTCAAAACCAGGGATGTCAGACAATTTAGGTCCTTCAACATCAGGCAAATCCAAATCTAAGTCGTCATCTGACAGCACCAACGTTGCACCTGGTGAGAGACCAAAATCCACCTTCGATAAAATGTTTCAAGCAAAGCTGCAGGGGGGGCAGACAGTTGGGTCGCAGAGGCCGTGAAGGTCGAACTCACCATAAACAAGGGCTAAGAGGAATGCCCACTTGATGGTGACGTCCCTGGTGAACATGTTTGGATGGGGATGAAGCGGCAGTGTTGTGACAAGGGGCGAGGGGGCGAGGGGCCGAGGGGGCCGCACGGTCGCCAGAGGAGGGGCCGATGCCGATGGCCGAGGGTTCGCACACAATCCTGCAGCGGCACTGGAATGGCTACACAAACGGTGTAGTGCAGGGCACGTGCCAGCGGCTTTGATTCACCACGGACTACGGACGGACACTGACACAGACACTCTCCCAGGCACTGACGTTGCAACTCTGACCGCCGGACCTAGGCCCCAAGCGCCAAGCGCCTCGGCGGCGACTCGGCACCCCGCCCCGCCCCCTTCCCCTCCCCTTCTCCCTCCCTCCGCATTAGTCCCCTTTCCGCCGCCAGAGGCCGCTGAGGCGGTGGCGCCGCATTCAAAACACTCGCGGCTTTGCCGTGCTTTGCTGTTTGCTGGGGAAATCCGGGGAAGGCGCGCGCTGTGCGCCGCGTGCAAAGCAGATTGAAGCAAAGCCACAGTGCCCACTCGAAAGCGGCACACGCTCGCCCTGTCCCACTCTGCCCACAACGCGACAACAACAACAAAAAGAGACCAGCAGAGCAAGGATTCGATCCTCGGACCTCTGAGTTATGGGCCCAGCACACTTTCACTGCGCCACTCTGCTTGTTACAGACGAAGGGTGACAATGAGTACCATAGGCGCTGTCTGTCTGAAACAAAACTAGGCCCTGCGGGAGGGCAGCCGCTCCTGACACTTCCTCGGGGCAAAGGTCTCCCTGTCGGCCAGGCTACGCTAGACTGCGCTAGGCCGGCTAGGCGGACACCGAGCGCGCACTGCGCACGTGTGCCATTGATAAGGACGACTCTGGTTTCAGAATGGTTGACGGCGAAGTCCATGCGGCCATGCGACCCCCGCCCCGCCCGCCACGCCTGGGCGCGCTGTTTTTATCGGCCGCGATCGCCGCATCGCGGCTCACGCACAGCTTCACACAGAAGCTCAGGTCGCGGCGGGCGCGGGCGCGGGGGGGCGGGCGGGGCGGGCGGGGCGGGCGGCGGGCCGGGGCGGGCCGGGGCGGGCCGGGCGGCGGCGGGCGCTGCGTGGAGCCCCACTTGACGTGCCCCGGGCGGGGCGCGCTGCGGTGACACCGCGTCGCCGGCCCAGCAGGCCAAGCCCCAGGCCGAGCAGACCAACGGGGCGGCGGCGGTGGGTGCGTGGTCGTAGTCCCGAAAATGACGGAATGGTTCGACCCGTGCCTAGAGGCCCTCCACCCATGACCCAATGACCCCGCGGCCTTGGCCATATCGCCGGTCCGCGCGGCGGCGGCGTGGCGTGGATGACGGAGGAGGTGGGGGGAATTCCCCTCCCCCTTCCTCAAAGAGGGGGCGGGCGTCAATAATGGGCCGCGCAAGTAAACAAGACAAAACGGCGCAAATCGGCCGAAAGTGCTGCTGACGGAGGGACGGACGGGTAAACGCTGTCGTTGTGACCAGAGTGCCGGCATTGCCGGCTAGGAGGCAAGGCGGCAAGGCGGGTCGCCGGTTCAAGTTGGTCGAGTGCGATGACGTCGCAGTCCCGCGTGCCGCGTGCGCGCGAGGCGACCAAAATTATAGACGCGATTTGATCTCCCGAGTCGCCGAATGGGACTGGAACCGAACGTGTGACCCCACCCATAAATTGCTCCCCGAACGACGAATCCGTTGGTGGGGCCACACGTTCGGTTCAAGTCCTGCTCAGCGACTCTGGAGCTCAAAACGCGTCTATGATTTTGGCTGCTCAACTGGTCCTCTGGCCCACTGTGCGCCGCGTCGCGGAGGAAGCCATGCATCCCCTGTTTTTGCTCGGTTTCGAACACAACACTACAGCGACGTGACAGCGCCGCGGTGCCCCGCAGCCTGCGATCATGATCAGTCAGTGTATCAGTGCCGCGCCGCCACGTCACGTCATCCGCAGGCCGCGGCCGGACCGCGCGGCACCGGCATGGCGACCGGCATGGCGACCGCCGAAGAGTCGTCTCGTCGCTCTGTCTCTGTCGCGCTCACGGGGCTCTCCCCAAGGGTGCGAGAGAGACAGAATGACACACCGCTTTTCCGAATCGCTCGGCAGGACCACGCTGCTTGTGCAACGCCGTGGGGTGGGAGCGGAGCGGCGATAACTGTTCGTAATTTGTGCCTCTTGTCTCTGTCCTTCCCGCGGCTGCTCCCGACTCTGAGCTCGTGTCGCAAGGGAAGCCCTGGGAGCGGCGCGCCGGCCGGGCCTAGACAGCCCGGCCAGGGTTTTCCCTTTGGGGCCACCAAAGATAGCCGGCGCGTGGACAGGACAGGTTGACGGGCTCGCCGGTCCGGCGTATCAGCAGCGATGCCTGAGATTAGCCCGCCCACGCGGATAGCAGCCAGGTCGGGGGCGGGCCGTGGAGGGGCCGTGGAGGCCGTGGAGGCCGTGGAGGCCGTGGAGGCCGTGGAGGCCGTGGAGGCCGTGGAGGCCGTGGAGGCCGTGGAGGCCGTGGAGGCCGTGGAGGCCGTGGAGGCCGTGGAGGCCCTGCAGGCCGTAGAGGCCCTCCTGCACTCCTGCAGGCCGTGCCGGCTGCACTCGGCGGGTTGCCAGCCTCTGCCCCGGCCGGACTGCGCGATGCACCAATTTGACCCGAAATAACCAGCAGGATGCGTCACGCAAGCCGAGGGGCGGGGAGGGGCGGCTCCGTGCGCTCCGTGCGGCTGCGGCCGTCGCACTGCACGCGGAGCGACGCGGACCTGCAGCACGCGATGTACACCTGGCACAGTTTTCGTGTGCAATTATGTGTTCGGAACGCTTCGCCGTCTAACTGCTTTTCAAGTGTGGTACTTGCTTCCCGAATTTCGACTCGCTCCTCGGCCTCGAAGGAGTTGAATTCCAGTTGCAGCGGCATGCGCTCTTTCCGGTCAGAATCCAAAGGGAAAGGGATGGTCGCTTCAAGCTTTCGACTCGCACGCTCTGTGCCACTGCACTGGGCGTCGCCCAGCGCTTTTTCTGGTTACCAAAAAATAAAACGAGACCACGATCTGTCAAGTTGATTTAGGGCAGCTCTTGTAGTAGGTCGTCGCGTAGCGGACACAAACACTCGTACGGCGCGCGCACACACAGACACTGACTCACACACTCACACACACACAAACGTGGCATCTTGACCTGCGTGCTCTGCGTGTCTAGGCCTTTGCGGCTCAGCGCAGACAAACATCAGCATCTCACATGTCCGGAAAGAGGGCCTCTAAGGTTCGCGAATCCAGAAGCACCCCAGGGGTACCCCGGGGGGAGGGGGAGGAGGGGGTCACTAGTCGCTCTGCAGGCCGCCGTACGCTCTATGCGGATTTGTGACAGGTGGAGGCACGCTTCGTGCTGCGGTACGTCCAATGATGGCGCTTCAGAATCCATACTTTCCTCTCTCTCTCTCGCTCCCTTTTTCGTTCTTAGAGATTATCTATCTGTTTTCGAGAAGACATGCGAAGGCCAATTGACTCTCGACCTCGAAATGAGTGTCTTGACGTCGAGCATCACTTTGGAGCCGCCTTTGGAGAGCGACAGTGACGGCGATATAAACAGGTAGTACCGCGAACGAGGCGAGACTTTGGATCCTCGGCGCGGTGCGCGCGGCGGCGAGGCCTGGCTTGGGCTTCGGGCACTCCACCGGGACGCGGCCGACGCGGGCGTCGACGGCGACCCCGGAGACAGTGGCGGCTGGCGGCGGGCTTGTCGACCCGTCTCGAACGTCTCGAACGTCTAGAACGGCCGGCTCATTATTTTGTTGTCAGAGGCGTTTAGTTTTTTGTTTTTTTGTCCGAGGTGAAGGCCGAAGAAGTGTGCGTCGCTGACGCAAAGTCTCATCGCGACGTTACAGCTTGCCCTCGTTCCTCGTCCGCGACTCGTCCGCGACGAGACAGAGACAGAGAGCCGGCCGCGGGGAGCCTGCCGGTGCACGCGGTGCGGGGCCATGCGGGGCCCGCGGTGCAGGCTTCCGCCTTGCGCGCTTACCGCTGCTTACCTCTCATACCTCCTCGGCTTTTCAACCAGTGTCTCCATTAACGAAGGGGACCGGTTTCCACCCGGCTCGCGGAGCGATTAGAGGGTAATCTTTTCTTCCAGAGTATTTACGTCGCCGGCAAGGTCATCGCCTCGCGCGTGTGTGAATATGTAAGACGCCTGAAAAAGTGATATAAAAAGAGCAGCGGCCAGACAAAGTGGTCGGCCTTTTACGAGCTTCCAGACTCGCTTGTGTTTGTTTTATTCCAAGTGATCCCTGCGAGTGATGACCGGCGAGCTTGAAGCTTGAAGCCGCCGCTCAGGGCGCGCGAAGACGGCGAAGACGGCGAAGACTCCAGGCTCCGGCGACTGGCGCCACGTCCAGCAGGCCGGGCCGGGCCGGGCCGGGCCGTGCAGCCCCTTCCTGGCTGCGGTGCCAGCAGCACGACAAGGACCTTGTCTCCGTGCCGGCCGTGCCGACCGTGTGCAGGCAGGACGATCTCACCGGCTTGATAAAGGCGCGCGCTTTTCTCACAACGGTTACAAGAATGAAATGGCCCGCCGGGCGGCTAGGCGGCGTGCACGGCCCCGGCGTGCGTGCGCATGGTCTACCTCGCCGTTCCGCGAAACGCCTCGCGCCTCGTCGGGTGGCCGTCGCGGAGTCATTCGAGTCCCTGCACCGATTCAGCGACGGCGCCGGACGTCCGCGGCGCCGACCCGGCCCAGCCGACCGGCGCACAGTGGGCCAGAAGGGTATTGGAGGCGGTCAAAATTCTAAACGCGTTTTGAGCTGCAGAGTCGCTGAAAAGGACTCGAACCGAACGTGTGACCCCACCAATGGATTGCTCTCCGTACGAGCAATCCATTCGTAGGTTCACACGCCCGGTTCGAGTCCCATTTAGCGACTCTGGAGCTCAAAACGCGTCTAGAATTTTGGCCGCCTCCGCCGGTCTTACTGTACGCCGGCCCTCCATGCTGATGCAGGCTCTGCTGCCCTGGGTCCTGCATGCCGCGACCCGAAACGCCCGAAACCCGAAGGCACCGCGCTCATGCTGCATGAGGCTCCCGTCGCCCCGCCCCGCCGCGTAACGGTGAAGAAGGCCCTTCTATGCTGGTCGGTGTGCCCTTCGCCCTCGCACTGTGTAGCCCGGCCCGGCGGCCTGGCCAGTACTGCAGTGGCCCGCAGAGCGCACCGAACCAAGTTCCGGGTCGCCTTCTTCCAAGCACAACCTGGAGCCCGTTCCGGATCGCTACGGCGAGGCAGCGAGGCAGCGTTCAGAGATCAAGGCCCGTCGCCGTCCCTGGACCCGGGCCGACCCGGGCCCCATCAGGGACTCGTCCGCGCGGCGCCCGCTCGTCCGGCCGAACCCTCGGGACCCGTCCACAGAGTCCACAGTCCCGCCTGCAGGGTGACTCCAACTCCGAGCAGTGCGGGCCTCTTTCTATCCCTCTCGCACCGGTGCGGGTTGTCCCATAAATGCGAGAGAGATAGACCCCAATAAAGACGGCCGGCACAGTGCCCGCTAGCGCCGTGTGTTCCCGCTGGCCCTACGGGACCCTAGGGCATTCGAAGGTCCCTGGAGTTGAATGACGCACTCCCAGGCAAAAAGTGCAACGCCTTTGGTTTTTTCTCGTTTCCTTCGACACCGCCGGATGGAATTGGCCGCTTTCCGAATAGGAGCACGACTCTATACGTCGGGCGCCAATGGACCGCGCGCCGCGACCCGTCTCTGAATGTGCAGCAGCCCGATTCCGAGAGTCGTTTGGTCGCTCTGTCTCTCTAGCACCAACACGGGACGCCCCTGGAGTGCGAGAGAGACGGAGCCACAAAAACGCCTGTCGGAATCAGTCCGCAGACTGGTGGCCGGGAGATGAGCGAGATAACCCGGGGGCCGGGCGTGTTGATGGTATTAGAATTAGCGTCGCCACTCGACCGGCGACCTGGCCTGCCTGGCCTGGCCGGCGATGCGCTTCGCCTTGCTTCGCGCTGCCGATGGCTCAGATTCGCCGCCCCGCCCTCCTCGCCCCGGTGGCGATAATTATTGCAAAGTCCACCGCGAGTCGCGATTCGTTCGTCGCTCTGCCCCTTTCGCACCCCCCGCGCCGCGCCCCATGAGAGCGAGAAAAGGCGAGAGGCCGCTCCCGCGATTGAAACGGGCAAACGCGTGTGTCGCGGACCAATGGGGAACGGTGAGGGCAGACAAGGCAGCTTGGGCGGGATGGACGCACCAGCCCTTTCCCAAAGAATGAATGAATGAACGAATCAACGAATGAATGAATGAATGATGCCATGGGAAATGAATGGCGGGCGGGGCGCGTCGCGCGTCTAACCCGAATCACGCTCGCAACCGTCGACGACGACGGCGAGCGCCGTTGTGGCAGGCAGCCTAGCAGACCGGAGAGTCGATTGGGTGGCCTACCACCACGGCGCGCTGCCAGGACAAGATGTAAAGTGGGTTGCCTCGCTAGGCGCTTCGGCGCTTCATGGACAAATTGAAGTGGTAATGGGGGCGAACGACAACAACCGATATTTTGCCAATACCCCTTTATTGTAAAGAGCAAGACTTACTTGAACCAGATTACCGATACAGCAAAACACTTAGTGGAAGGTTCTATTCTATTTTCTTTACTTCGATTGTGTGCATTATCAGTACGTACTAACAGGAAACTACAACTTATGACTGAACATTGATGGTAATGCTTCAACGTATCTAATTCATATTCCTACAGCTGCCAACACTTCAAACAGATTCATGCCAATTATGCCAATTCAAAAGAGTGAAGACGACTAGAACTTAAAAGAAATATTACAACAAAAATAACTCACAGGTGTAAATAAGAATATTGACTGCAATGGCCATGTCAGTGCCAAATTAATTATGTGAATTTTAACAGCACTTCAGAAAGTCCTACATTAAAAATGTGTCAACAGGTAAAAAGACAGGACTAGCTCTCAATGGCACATACACAAAAAGAACAAACAAAAATCTTTTTAAAAAGTTGATACCAGTAAAATGTGTCTAAAATCATTCCTTTCACAAATAACTCTCAGCATATTCCTGAACAACAATTAAGTGTCATTCTTGCCTAAGCAGACAATAACAGAATTTATACATGTGATAGAGGGTTTGTAACAAAAACAACCTTAAAGCTAATCATTGAAAACATAATTGAAATATAGGTAAAACTGTCACATTTTCAATGAGAAATAAGACGTAAAAGAGGGAAAAAAACAATGAGAAAATAAAAATACAGCAACAAAAAAAATAAAAAGGTTGCAATCACTTTTACAGGCATACCATCACTCTTATTGTTGTTTGTCAAATGAACACATATGTGCGTGATGTGTAAAATTGATTATATTTCTCATGCTGGAATTACAGTACTTAAAAACAGGTATGATACATATCACAATAAGGATCTAAATTCATTGCAACTGTGGAATGGTAATCATTAGACATAGAACTGCTAATTATGCCTCACAGCCATAAATAAAATGTTCAACTCATACTGTAATTCAATACTACATCATGTGATAGCAAATGAGTTAATTCAAGAAATATCCAAAAAGAATATTTAGAAATTTGGAAAGAATGGTGGTCGAAAATCATACCTTGCTATATGAACATATCACAGTGCATATCATTCTCATGACCTGCACGCACCAAGCACAAGTTAAACATAATAAACATTATAGATCTAACATTAAAAGGAGACTGATCTAATCAACGCAAACACGCAAACACTTCTTGGAAGTCATAAGTAATAAGATCAATTCTGTAGTAACTTGGTCACACACAAAGCTACAAAATAGAAGCATATGCTTAGAAAGTCTTCATGGTAAAACTTTTAGACAAAATAATGTTTGCTCTGAACACCAATAGGGTTTGGTAAAGCATCTAAAATGACCAAAGATCGAAAGTTGCTGCTCACTAGAACCCACTAGCCCCTAATGCATGACGTATTTGCTCGAAGGACAGCCAAAACGTAAGGGACCAAGGGGCCATTCGGATCCATACTGGAAGGAACCCTTTGTATAATCCTAACACTCCTTCATTCTCCACTGTCTTAATAAGGCAGTCAATTGATGATTTGTAAACAAGGCCCCTAGGAACAATGGAAGAAAATTGGATGGTTATTCATTGATATCTTTTGAAATAATAAAGGTAAAAGAATATACTTACTTGCCAGATGCGTCCGTTGGCTGATTCATGACTCTTGTTTTCACAACATCGGCAGGGGTACCCATGGTGGCTGCTACTAATCCAGCACATGCACTGGAAGAGAAATTAAGTATGGTCAGTTTCAATCAGTTTAGTTGAAAAATCCATAAAAGAAAGAAATCTTTCTCAGAATCAAACCTTGCAAGTATGTGAGTGAAATGATTGTCTGTTAAAGTGGTGTGTGTCAGAATGAAGTGCTTTGCAGTGTCATAAGTAGTCAAGTCTCCCAGATTTACAAGAGCTGCTCGTTGGACATTGGGTATTGAACCCTTCCACAAAGCTTTTACACCTCCACTGGCCAAAATCTGTTGAAATGCGTGACCAAAACTGAGCACTCTGAAAAAAATAATAAAGACATAATCTTTAGAAATTTTTTTTACGATATGAACTGTAGAATAATTTAAGAATCAGTACATGATGCAAGTTAAAATTAAAATTAACACATACCTTGGGGGTTTACCAAGAAGTCTACGTTTCCCTTCCATTTGGATTTGAACTTTGATAAGATCAGTAGGGCTAGCGGCAAACTGGGCAATAGCACCAGCTGTTGCACCACAAATTGCTGATTTCCTAAATTTAAAAAAAAGAAACAAATAATTATTGGATAACGATAAGAGTGTGGGATTTTTAGTTGGATTTTTGTAGCTCCCATTCAAGAGTCACAAAAGATTTAAAAATAGGTACTTAGTTAGCTCACCAAACTGGAAAATAGCCATCGGGGTTTTTTCCAGCAACATCGTCTCGGAGTCGTTCGTAAGTCACAATGCGAATACCAGAGTATACAACATGCCTGTATATTGCTGGTGTTATTCCTCGCCAAAGCTCTAGTGCACCTTCTTCTTGAGCAATACCTAATGCAGTCTTGTACATACCCCTGTATGGTCCAGCCTAAAATGAAATTTAAATAACTCATTAGGAGTACAATGGGTAGTAGCACTGGTTTGAAGTATGTCATAGATAATAAGTACAATTTCTAAGATGGAATTACAGAGAACAGCTTACATTTGAGATTCCATGTTGTGCTGCAGCCTTCTCCCCTTGAATTTGAAGTCGCGTTTTAGTGAGATCAAGTGGATAAGTCACTGTAACAAAAGCACTAATATTAAATGACCCAAAAGGATAACGTTCTGTGAGGAACAAAATGTATCATAATCATAGCATGCATTAAAGCGCAGACCGCCCAATTGACGGCAAATTAAAATTGGGTTGACAGAAGAGTTTAACATAACCCTAGCTCCAAAATAAACAAAAGTGATGACAGAGGCAGATGAGCACCGTACAAATGTGGGACACACTGAGACACTTACAGACTTCTGCTATGCTTGCAGCAACCACCGAGACGACGTAGGTGCACCAGAACGAGTCCGCATAGTGCTTGGTGGAAGGAACCGGTGTAGACGAGTGCACCATTTCACTCAACAACTTAGGCAACGCTTGAGACTTGAGTAAAGTTGTGCAGATGCAAGACAGTCGGCGTCTCTCAATCAATCAGCTGTTCGCGGCAGCACTCATGTACAATGTTTTGTTTTGAACACTCAAGGTTATTTGACAGTGACCGAACGATGACATTGTTAAGTTAAACCATTTCGGGCCACATCTTCATTCAGCTCCGCACCAGGCTGGGCTCCGAAATGCAGATTCTCTTCCAAGTCCAGAACGTGTGAACAATGCCCCCACACGGATCACCATAGTAGTGATCTGGGAGCAGGACTGAGAGCACTCGGGGATCGTGTTTGTTCAAAGTTCACGTGAGGCTCTTTCCGGCAGTAGGTACCTTCCCCCCGGGGCTGAGAAATACAGCGTGCCGGTCGAGAGCAACCCTCGCCAGCCGCAGCCGGTGCGCCGCACTCGAGTTTCTCATACTCGCTGCTTCTCGGGCAGCACGGGGAAAGCCACCGCGAGCTGCCGCAAGCCGCAACGAGACAAACGAGACAGAGACAGGGTAGAGTGTTTCGCAGTGGATACACACTAACTGGCACTCACACAGTGCCGGGAAACTGGCAAGGCCAGAGCCAGGCGAGACGCGTTTGGCTGTGCCGCTGTGCTCGGCAGGCCGATTCCGAACAGTGTGCTTTCTTTCGTCGCTCTGTCTGACTCGCACTCACGGGGCGTCCCGCAGGGAAGTGAGAGAGACAGAGCGACGAAGGCACTGAGGCCTGTCCGCGGGGTTCGCGGCTGCGAATTTGCCGGCGTGCCCCACCACGCCCCACGGTCCCTGCAAACTGGCCAGCCCAGCCCAGCCCAAGGCCCAGCCTTTCCAGCCTGTCCAGCCCGCAGATGGCAGGACGGGGGCAAGGATCAACTTCTGGTCGACATCGGCGTTCCCCCCAAGGGCGCTATCTCTCGCTCGGTGTGCATGAGTGTGCCGTGTGGCGCGGGGCTGCAAGCTGGCGGCCAGGGTGGCGGTTGACGACGGTGTCGTCGCCGACGGCGTCGCCACGGCTTTGCTTGGCTTTGCCGCGTCCCTGGGCTTCCCTGGACCGAGACTGATGTCCCAAGTGCGTGCAGATGTCGCGATGTCGCGTTGTTGCGGTGTGTGTGTGTGTGTGTGTGTGTGTGAGTGTGTGAGTCGCATTTAGCCCTAGGCCGGGCCAGGTCCCCGTCGTCGTCGTTGGCGTTGGCGGCGGCCCGGAAGGCCCGGAAGGCGGGATGAGGGTTCCGCCCTGATTCAAGGTCGCGCCAAATTGCCGGTGTCTTTGTTGGTATAAGACTCATACGAAAAACAAACAACAACAATTCAAAGGCCGGCCCGTCATTCTGAAGACGCGGGGCGGATGCGCTAGAGATGCTAGAGGAGGCCCGGGTCGGGGGGCCGGGGAAAAGGGGGGGAGGGCAGTTTCGCGGCAGTTTGGGCCCTACGATGACATGACCCCTCGGGCCGCGACTGGCCCTGGTTTGCCCTGCAGAGTGATTCCGAACACTGCTAACCTGTCTCTCTTACGGACGCCCCATGAGTGCGAGAGAGGGATCTGGGAATCAGTCTGCTGGGTGCACCCGCAGCGATAAAGCCGGATAAAGCCACGCGGCCTGCGTACCCTAGCCGCGCGACGGGACGGGCCCTTCCCGCGGTGTCGCGGTGCCGCGGTGCCACAGCGCGCGAGGTGATTGGGTGATACCCTAATCTCTTTTACAACTCCCCCATTACAGCCAAAGCTCATACAGCGCGGGTGCCGCCGTGATAACTTTGGACTCGGCGACCGGCAGGGCGCGGGAGCGGTGCGGGGTGGGAGGGGTACCACCCAAGCCCAGCCCAGCCCCGGCTGATTGGGTACAGTATTGGGTCGCAGGCACGAGGCCGACTTTTTGTCCCCCCCCCTTTTTCCCCGGGTCTCTCTCTCCTGCTCCGTAATGAACACGCTGACGGCGTCGTCCACGACACCGCGGCGCAATGAACCGCGCCGGTCGGCGGCACCTTGGCCTGCGTGGGGCGCGGCGGTAACCACGGCGGCGGCGGCCCGGGACGCCGATGGCTCGCCGTCAACGAGGTGGGACTGTGCGGCCCGGCCTCGGGCCCGGCACAAAGGCATTCGGCTCCACTCCACTGTGGGCCGCTGGCACCCCGCCACCCCAAGGCTGCCAACAACGCGCCGCCCCCGCGGCACCGCGGCCCGCGCCCCGCACCTGGCCGACCACATGCTGTCCCCGGCCTCGGCCACTCGCACCACTCCGCCGGCGCGCCCTTGGCAGTGACGGCGTCCTCTGCGCCGCCCTTGGCCCTCGTCCGCCGCCCCCGGACAGCATCCTGGTGGCTGTCGCGGTCCCCCCGGTGACGCGGCGTGCCGGCGTGCTTCGCGTGACGCAGAGCACGTTTTCGCACGACGCCACGCGCCGCCGCCACGCTTCGGCCGGCACAGGTCACGCGCGTGTGACACGCGAGCGCGCGGCGTCCCGAGCCGAGCTCCGCGTCCGCCGTGCCGCCGTGTCGCGCGGCCAGCGGCAAGGGAGGAGGCAGGCCCAGGGCCCACGGCCCAGGGCACGCCGTCGTCGCGTATCGCACTCGCGGAAACGCGCGGAAGACGAAGAACGGAAAACGGAAACGTCTGCCCCTGGCGGGACTCGAACCCGCGCCAGCATCGGCTTGACCTTGATTTTATTCCGCCAGAGCATCTCTCTACACCTTACCTGTATGATCATGTCATCCCCCCCCTCTCCCCCCTCCTTCACGTGCTGTATGCACAGAGTCCGCTAGAGTCCGTTCAGCTTCCTTGGGCTCGCGGAGTCCGTCACGGATGAGGCCTCTTCGCCCTGGAGAGCTTCTTACTCTGTCTTTCTCTCTCCCCCCTCTCCTTCCTGCGTTGGGCCCGTGCCTGGTGCCCGCTCCTTCCAGTACGTCCCAGTCGGCGCCTTCCTTCGTGTGCGGCAGATGCGTCGCTGGTCTGCTCCGTGATGCGCGATGCGCCGCCATAGCCTCGCCGTCGACGGTGTGCTGAACGCCGCGCAACGCCGCCGCCGCGCCCCCCGCCGTGCTCAACGCCGTGTTCGACCCCGCGTTCAACGCCGTGTTCAGCGCCATGGGGGCCTTGTGCTTGTTGGCGCTGCTGGCCTTGGTGCCGGCGCCGCGGGCCCAGCTGCAGCAGGACATCGAGGTGCGTCGCCCAGTGTGTCAACTCCCAGGCCATTACTGAACTCGTGTGTGTAGTGGCGTTGGCGGTCCGGGGCTCCGGGACCGCGAGGACGCCGTTAATGGCGTCGTCGCCGTGCTCCGCTCGAAGAAGGCCGACGTCGCGGTGCGCGGTGCAGGAAGTGCTTTGGTGCGCAAAGTGCAGCCGAGCCAGGCCGGCCAGGCACCTCGGCCGGCGCTTCCTCCGCCGCGCCGTCGCCGAAAAGACCGGAAAGGGGCTCTATTCTCTGTTCGCCGTTCGGTCTTCGACGTCTTCGACGTCTTGGCGCGTTTTGTTCGAGTCCCTTGTTCTGCCGCTGCCGACAAAAGCGGCGAAGGGAAGTCGAGATTCCCCGGAACGCTGATTTTGTTCTCGTTTCCATCGGCCGGCGGCATTCGCCGAAGCGTTCGCAGTTCGCGATGAGTGCGCGCTTGCCGCTTGCCCCACCGCCAGCCCCACCGCCAGGCCGGGGCGCCGTGGCGTACGTCCGCTGCGCCGCCCCGCCCCCGCGCCCCGCGCCTGGTGGTACACAGACCGTAAAAACAAGACCAGGCGCCACGCGCGCTGCCAGGCCTGCCCTGCCCTGCCCGCGACCTGCTGGACTGGGGACCGAGGAGATGCCCCCGACTTGGCGGACAAAAGCGCAGGCCTCCGCGATGGACGGACAAACGGGGACCTCTTCGGCAGAACCTCCCCCGCTGCCGTCGCGGGGCAGTGCAGCACTGTAGTCTGATTGCGAGCGTCTTTTCCGTCGCTTTGTCTCTCTCGCACTCGTGGGGTGTGCCGGGGTGTGCCGTAGAGGTGCGAGAGAGACAGAGCGACGAAAACGACTCTCGGAATCGGTCTGCTCGCCACATGCTGCCGCTCCCCTCCTCGCGAGTCCGCGTTGAATAATCGTCTCACTCCCTGTGCGTGCGCGCGCTGCGCACTTACGCAACGGGATCGCTTCTTTCCGCCGCCCTTTTTTTTCCGCGGGTGGGCGGAGGCTCTGCAGATGCCGAAATGCATCAGGGATTGGGCTGCGAGGACCAGCGGCCCGGCTTGGAGGCCCAGCCCAGCGAGGCACGGGGCGGAACGGGACGCACAACGCCCACTGACCCGCATACGGAGGAGTGATGGGTCTCTGTGTGCGTGGGTGTGAGGGTATGAGTGAGTGTGTGTTGGAGAAGACTCGGCTTTTCGAAAATGGATAAAGCAAGGGTGACCCGGGCGGTGCCGCTTCCGCTACCCGGAAGTGTTTGGGATGGGCAATCCTGTCGCCTCTGGAATTGATCGGGATTCATTTGGCCTTCCTGGAGGTTCCCGTAAACTTGATCTTCCTCAGTGCTCCGCCGGCCAATGACCACCACCTCTTTGTTGTGCCCCCAGGCGAGCCAGTTCCTGCGCGAGTATGACCGCGAGGCCGCCGCCATGTGCTTCCGCGTCACCTCGGCGACGTGGGGCTTCAGCACCAACGTGACGGAGAGCAACCGCCGCCGAATGGTGAGTGTCTTCCGCCCCGTCCTGTCCCGTCGCGTCGTCCGCCGCGCGGCACTTCTTGTCCTCCTTCTCCTCGGTCCGCGGCCAGTGCCACCGGGTGCCGCCGCAGGCCGACATAGCAACGTCGCCCTGTCTCTCTCGCACTCCTGAGGAACGCCCCGTGCGTGCGACAGAGACAGCGACCAAACTAACGACACTTCGGCATCGGCCTGCAGCTTCGGCAGGCTATCTGATGGGCTAGAGAGAGAGAGAGAGAGAGAGAGAGAGAGAGAGAGAGAGAGAGAGAGAGAGAGAGAGAGAGAGAGAGAGAGAGAGAGAGAGAGAGAGAGAGAGAGAAGGAGAGAGACAGGTCGCGGCTCCCGTTAGCCCGCGTCGGCCGCGTCACAGTGACGCCCTCCTTGTGCTCGACGCCGAGGGGCAGAGCGAGGGGCAGGCCGCCGCTCTCGCACCACCTCGCTGCACCCCAGCAGTCACACGCCGCGGAGGGGGAAGGGAAGGGGCGTTGTGTTCCGTTGCCGCCAACCAACTCTTTTTCCTCCGACGCGCTTCCGCCTACCGACAGCATCGACAATGTCGCCGCAAACCCCGCCAACCTTTTTTTGTTTTGTTTCAAATCTCGACCGCGTTGGACTTTGGCCTTGGGGTTCCGTTTCGGGAGCTTGGAGGCCCTTATGTTGGGTGGCCTACTCATTGAGTCCGGTTCGTTGCATCGGTAATCGGCCGCAGGACCTCGGCGTCGGCGCATGGCTCACCTAGGCTGAGGCGGGGGCAAGGGTCGGCAGGACGGGCGCGAAAGGTCTTTTGGAAATTTGAAAACGGCGCTCCCGACGGTGTCCTTCCCGCCGCGCCGCGCCCCGCCCCGCCCTGCGTCAGCTGAAATACGCCTTCCGGCCCGCGGACAGATTATGCTCAGCCATCAACACCGAGCCGAGAATAACGCTTCCTCCCTGCCTCGGCCCGCCCTTGCACAGTGGGCCAGAAGACCGGTGGAGGCGGCCAAAATTCTCGACGCGTTTTGAGCGCTAGATCCCTAAACAGGATTCGACTGTAAAAGTATGAAAAATTGCGGAAGCGAGGCTTGGAGGTGATGAGCGAGACTTTGACGCGGAATGGCGGCGGGGCCGTTATGGCTCCGCTCTGCTCACCGCCGTGACCCGTCGTGTTGCAGCTGGAGGAGCAGGCGCTCAACTGGAAGTTCGGGCGCGTGTCCTGGCGCAAGGCGACGTCGCTGTCCTGGGCGCGCATCCCCGACGCGACTTCGCGCCGCCAGCTGCAGATCCTCTCGCAGGAGGGCCGCAACGCCCTGGCCGACGACCGCTTCGCGGAGGTGAGTCCGTCCGGGGTCCTAGGTCCTGGACTCGAATCGCGGCCGCGCCACGGGCCGCGACGCCGGGGTCGACGGCTGAGGCGTCGCGGCGCTCCACCTTGCCCAGCCACGCGTGGAGCCCCGCGCGTCCTGCCTACAGTGGTGGAGCAGCGTCCGGCCGCGTCGCCAACGCCTTCTGCTTGCAGCTGATGCAGCTCATCGGGGACATGAAGGACGTGTACGCGCGCGCCCGCGTGTGCCCCGTGTCCGGCGTGCAGGGCCAGGCCTGCGACTGGCGGCTGGAGCCCGAGCTGAGCCGCGTGCTGGCGCGCTCCAGGGACCCCGGCGAGCTGCAGCGCGCCTGGACGGCCTGGCACGACGCCGTGGGCCCGCCCCTGCGCCCCAAGTTCGTCCGCTACGTGCAGCTCGCCAACGAGGCCGCCAGGCTCAACGGTACGTCGGCCGCGTCCTTCGGCGGCGCACAGTGGGCGAGAAGACCGGTGGAGGCGGCCAAAATCCCGGACGCGTTTTGAGCTCCAGATTCACTCGCTAATGGTACTCGAACCGAACGTGTGACCCCATCAACGGATTGCTCTCCGAACGAGGAATCCATTGGTGGGGTCACACGCTCGGTTCAAGATCTGTTCAGCTTCTTTGGAGCTCAAAACGCGTCTAGTGTTTTGACCGCCGGTGCTGGTCTTGTGGCCCACTGCGCGGCGGCGGCCTCACCATAACCGTCACGTGCTTCGCTATGTCCAGGGTTCCGCGACGCCGGCGAGCACATGCGCTCCCCGTACGACGACCCCGAGCTGGAGTCCGAGGTGACGACGCTGTGGGCGCAGGTGTCGCCGCTGTACCGCCAGCTGCACTCCTACGTGCGCCGCCAGCTGCACCGCCACTACGGCGACCTGGTGCGCGAGGATGGGCCGCTGCCCGCCCACCTGCTGGGTGAGTCCCATTGAGCGACTCTGTAGCTCAAAACGCATCTAGAGTTTTGTCCGCCTACACCGGTCTTCTGGCCCACTGTGCGCCTGACCTCCACTAATGCCCTTATGTGCGGCAGGCAACATGTGGGCGCAGAGCTGGAAGAACATCGCCGACCTGGTGGTGCCGTTCCCGGACAAGCAGGCCGCCGACGTGACGCCCGAGATGCTGCGCCAGGGATACACCCCGCTGAGGTTCGGACAAGCCCCCGGACGAGCCCTCGGACGAGCCCGGGCCGCCGACGCACGCACTGCACGATTCACCGGAGAGGGTTGGTAGCACCGCAGCACCGAGGCCCCCGCAATGCCATTCCAAGTGTCCTGGCGTCCACGGCGCCGTGCCGCGCTCGCCGCCACGCCCTGGTGGAGCTCCTGCAGGACCCCCCCTCCCCTCCCCTCCCGCAGCCAGCCGACGTGGAATCACCGGCTTCCGGTCGCGGAGACGACGCCGCGTCCTAGGCAAGCCGGCAAGCAATGTAGACCCAGCGCTGAGGCTGCCGTTGGCTGCCTCGGAGAGCGCCCGGCGGGTAGGCAAGGCGGCGCGTCGCGGTGCAGCCGCGTGCGGCGGGTTGCCGTCGCAGCATCCGCGGGCGCTCTCCGCGCGGCCCGGCCTTGCCTCTCATCCTAAGCGCCCGGCCTGGCAGGATGTTCCAGACCGCGGAGGAGTTCTTCACGTCGCTGGGGCTGAAGCCCATGCCCGTCGAGTTCTGGCGGCACTCCGTGCTGGAGCGGCCCGTGGACCGCGAGGCAGTGTGCCGCGCCTCCGCCTGGGACTTCTGCAACCGGAAGGACTACAGGTAGGAGGCCGACAGGCCCACAACTCGAGTCACTTGTGTCCGGTCCGGACAGCAGCACACACTGCTAAAGCTTTGTCGTTCGCAGGATAAAACAGTGCACGGAGGTGACCATGGACGACCTGCTGACCATCCACCACGAGATGGCGCACATCCAGTACTACCTGCACTACGCCGAGCAGCCCTACATCTTCAGGCGGGGTGCCAACCCGGGTGAGTCTGCGTGCCACACCAGTATAACGAGCGCTGCCCTTGGCGCTGCCGGCGCACTGCCCTCACGGAAGACTCCCCTCGCGTTGCAGCGTTCCACGAGGCCGTCGGGGACGCCATCGGGCTGTCGGTGACCACGCCCAGACATCTGCAGCGGATCGGCCTGCTCAACAACATCACGGACGACTACGGTGCGTGGCACGCAGTGGCACGCAGTGGCGTGCCACCGGGGCTTTCGACGGCCGCGGAGAGGGGGAAGGGGAGGGAACTCATTTCAAAGTATGATTGGAGACGCGCGCCTCGCCACCGATGGCACGCACCTTTGTAGGGGAATTTGTGGAAAAGTACCGATTTCGGACACGGCCTGTATGCCGAGGCGCAGAGCGGAGCGACCGGCTTGAATTTCTGCAAATCAACTTGACAGCGAGTTTGTATCATTCTCATTTCTCCGTCCTTCTCCCCCTCGCAGAGACCAACATAAACTACTTGCTGACGGTGGCGTTGGACAAGGTGGTGTACCTGCCTTTCGCCTACGTGGTCGACCAGGTACGTGCTCGCTGCGTGCACTGTCCTGCCTCACGGCCTCCTCGGCCTCCTCCGCCCTCATTCCTGGTCCAGCCTGACACGTCCACGTTCTTGCAGTGGCGGTGGCGCGTGTTCTCGGAGGGCGTGGAGAACATGAACGGCCGCTGGTGGGAGCTGCGCATGCGGCACCAGGGCGTCATCCCGCCCGTGCCGCGGTCCGAGCGCGACTTCGACCCGGGCGCCAAGTACCACGTGCCCGCCGACACGCCGTACCTGCGCTACTTCGTCAGCCTCGTGCTGCAGTTCCAGATCCACGAGGCGCTGTGCCGCGCCGCCGGCCACCCCGGCCCCATGCACACCTGCGACATCTACCGGTCCAGGGAGGCGGGCCGCCTGCTGGCGGAGGTAAGGGAGGGGGAGAGAGGGAGAGAGGGGCGAGCGTAGAGGGTGCTGACAGTGTCGCGGTGCTGCAGGTGCTGTCGCTGGGCGCGTCGCGGCCGTGGCGGGACGTGCTGCGCGTGGCCACGCAGGGCGCCACGGACCGCCTGGACGCGCGGCCGCTGCTGGAGTTCTTCCAGCCGCTGGCGCTGTGGCTGCGCGTGCAGAACCGGGAGCGCGGCGTGGTGGGCTGGACCACCACCAACCAGGACACGGCGCTGTTCGCGCGCTGGGCCCGGCCGCTCGCCGGCAGCGCCGCCGCCGCGCCGCCCTCCGCCACCGCCGCCGTCATCGCACTCGTTGTAGTATTTATTGCCGCTCGCTTTTAAGGTTGCTAATAAACAGAGATGGGAGACTAGCGCGGCGGTTCCTCATTTCGCGCACCACCGGTCCTCAAATAAGGCTCGAATCATATAGACTTGAACGAGGGGGTAAACACTAACACTCGTTTAATACCCGGTGCACAAAAACCGTGTAAATTTTGGCATTTTACCGGTACCGGTCTCGGGACCCACACTGGCAAGGCACGCAAGGCGCACAAGGCCGGCATCTGCACGCTTCCTTCCCGAACACGGCGCTGCAGCGTTCCAGGCAAGGCTGCAGGCCGCCGCGCTGACCACAGCCATTAGTCGTCGAACTAATTGCCGGACTCGGAGTCGGTAAACGGTGATTCGGGCACGACCTCGTCGTGACCTACGATAACGTGGGAGGGGACGAGCCGAGGGACGAGCCGAGCGCGGCCGAAGGGGCCGAAGCCGAGCCGAGGACGGGCCGAGCCACGGCGACCATATAGTGCGAGACGGTCGGGAAGGGGCCGCACCGTGTGGCATCGCGGCACGGCACTCGCGGGTAGTTGGATCGCCAGACGCGCTAGACAGGCAAGGCATCCTCGGCGCCATGGCGGCCGTCACGAGAGCGGCCTACGAAGTGGCAGCCAAGATGGCGGACGACCTCTGGAACTACTGCGGTGAGTCGGAAACTGCCAAATCGCTAACAACAACAACAAAAGGCGGCCAAAACGGAAATGGTCCTGTTAATTTTGTGCCGCCTGCAGATCCACGATCATGCAACCTACCCCTCGCAACGAACCCGCTACACCTCGCCGCCATCTTGGGGGTCTACTTGTACTTCGTGCTCTCGCTGGGCCCCAGGCTGATGAAGAACAGGCCACCCTTTGAACTCAGGACGATCATGCTGGTGTACAACGGTGTGCAAGTGGTTTGGTGTGGTTACCTTTTCTACGAGGTAAGACGACGCGTGAAATATGTAGATTCTTGTATTGTGCGAGGGCCACCTGAGGCAACGTCATGTTTGCGTTTGTTTCAGTGTATACGGTTGGCCTGGGGGTGGAAGTACAGCTACATTTGCGAGCCACTGAGTATGGAAATGGAGCCGTACGACTTTGAGGTGAGGCGTCTTTCCCACAGGAGACCGTGTTACATGATATTGACTTCAGTCATCACCTGCTTCTAACTGATTCACAGGTGGCCCGCACTGTGTGGCTGTATTTCATTCTCAAAATCGTGGATCTGTTGGATACGGTAGGCAACGATTGACATTGATCCTCCCCGTCGACTACGTCCTGCCGTTTTCTCACCACCATGTACCTTTGCTCAGGTGTTCATGGTTTTGCGCAAGAACCACCGCCAAATCTCGTTCCTGCACGTGTACCACCACTCGGGCATGGTGTTTTGCATATGGATGGGCACCAAGGCGTTCCCGGGTGAGTTTCCCTCAGAGTTTCCCACAAGGCAAAGTTGTGTTTTTGTCGGTTTGGTTGTTGACGGAAGGGCCCCCGTGAGAAAGTGCGCCCCCTTGACGCCTCGGTCTGTGCTTCCAGGCGGCCACCACACGTTCCTCGGGTTCATCAACTGCTTCGTGCACTGCCTGCTGTACGGCTACTACTTCCTCAGCCTGTACAACCCCAAGATCAAGGTGGCCTGGTGGAAGAAGTACATCACCGTGGTGCAGATTGTGAGTCCTCCGAGTCCCTGGTTGCCGCGGCTACCTGTGTCGGCACTTTCTGACCTCTGATTCCCCCTCCAGGTCCAGTTCGCCATGAACGTGGCCCACGAGAGCCTGCCCCTGCTCATGCCCAACTGTGAGGTCAACAAGGTCATCAGCGGCGCCCTGGTCATCCAGAACTTGTTCATGTTCGTGCTCTTCACCGACTTCTACCTCAAGAACTACTCCGACAAGGCGATAGCGAGGAAAACCGCGGCGGTCGCCAAGGAATCGTGAATCGGCAGTGCCTTATTGGCTAACCCGGGTTTCCCAGCCTGTCCCTCCAATGTGGCTATGCCCACGAACCACGCAAACCGCGAGCAGCGAGCCACGCGCCTCCGGCCTGGGGCCTCGGGTCTCGGGCCGGGGCCGGGCCTGGGAGCGATGCCCCACTCACACATCGCACCTACTGTCTGGTAGGGGAAATCACTACCGTCGTCGCCCTGACCTAACGAGGCAGTGATAAAACGATTATTTCAGTATCGGCAGGAATTTAGAGTAAGTTAGTTTCCTTAAGTTACGCACATGTACGATTTAAAGGTATAAATAAATAAATTGACACTTTTGTTTTTAGAAATACAGATGTTATATTTTTAATTCTTTTTCTTCGCCTTGTTTGAGACATAATGAGTTGATATGTAGGCACCTGAGATCAGTTCAGTCGTCCTGCTGAGTAAAGTCTGGCCGGGATAGTGGTGGGATGAGGTGAAGGTTCTGCGCTGCACTACGAAGCAGTCTACGCCTGGTGCTTCTTCTTGACGTACGCGTGGTAATAGTAGTTGGAGAACAGGGCGGTCATGATGACGCTCTGGATCATGAGGAACACCATGTTGCTGCGGTCCACGCGGCACGACGGCTGGAACAGGACCTGCGCCGAGTGCACGAACACTCCCAGGAACTGCAGCTGAAAGCAGAGGCGAATTTGAAATGCGACATTTCACCACGTCGTGCGCGGGTTTCTGTTTGCAGTCGTGGTGCTTGAAGTGGGTGGGTGTGAGTGTGTGTGTGCGCGCGCGCGTGTGTGAGTGTCCCCTTGGGCAAGCAGTCTCATGCATAACTATGAGGGCAGAGTCGATGGACTCAGGCCCGGGAACGCTGGCGTTTGTTTTTAGCAGAGTACACTTCCTCACCAGCTGCATTCTCGTAATCCACTTCTTCAAAAAGTTAAAGCTTTTAGTGCCGAACAGCAGTGTGGCCAAGTAGTAGCTGTACATGATGGTGTGGACAAACGTGTTGAGGAAGCCCACGAATGTCACGTGACCACCTGAAACAACCACGCGCTCTTAGACAAGATCTGGATCCCAGGATGCAGAAAGTAAACAAAGCAAAAAGCTTTTGAGGGTCACTAACCAGGCGAGTACGCGATGCCGTACCACACCCCGAGCACCATGACGGCGTGGTGGTACACGTGCAGGAACGACAGCTGTTTATAGTTTTTCCGCAGAACAATGAAAACCTGCAAAAGAAAAATTGAATGCAAACAAAATAAAACAGTTTTCTTTTTTTTCATTTGATATGAATCTTATTCACTCACCGTGTCTGCGAGGTCCACGATTTTGCTGAAAAAGTAGAGCCAGGAACAGCGCGCCGCCTGTCAAAGTCAAAACGATCGTGAAATATGCCGAAAATGTGAAATTTATACGATACAATGTGTTTCGCTTACCCGTATGTCCATTGGGGTGTAGTCGTCGGGGCCGAGGTACTGGCAGAACCAACTGTACCTACCGCCCCATCCCGCCACGAACGACTAGACACACAATCGGCTCAAAATTAGGAGAAAGAAATTAAGAAACAAGGACTTGAAAGGACGCCACGAACTTGCTCCTACCTCGTAGAACGTGTACCCCGAGAAGAGGACCTGCATGGCGTTGTAGGCGATCATAATCCTCCGCAGCTCCACAGGCTTGCGGTTCTCCATGAGGCGCGGCCCCAGGAACTTGACGAAGTAGATGTAGGCGGCCACGATGCCGAACAGTCCCCATGGCGGCCCGAGTCCCAGTGACGGCCCGAACAGCGGGTAGCTGGAGATGCGGGGGTCTGCCGACACAAGACTCTCCCTTCAGGAGACGCCCCGAGAAAGCAAAGACATCGCCAGGATGGCCAGGGTGACACACTAACCTACTTTCTCCACGAAGTGGTAGTGCTGCCACTCCCAGAGCCTCTGCATCACGTTGCTGGACACGTTGGCCATGATTGTGTGTGGCGCGGTGCGGAACTAGACAACAGGGCTGTCGCAGTGCTGGACTTGACCACCAGGCTGCCGCGGTGCCGGACTAGACCACCTGGCTGTCGCGGTGCCGGACCAGACCACCAGGCTGTCGCGGTGCCGGACTGGTGCCGGACTGGTGCCGCCTTGGACTGCTGGACTAGACCACCGGGCTGGTCCGAGTGCCGCCTTGGACTGATCCGCGGCCGGTGCGCCGCGCACTCTCTATTCGGTGCGGTGGCGCAACCCCGCGATTTCGACATTTCGACAGGAATCTAGTGGCGGTGACCCTAGTTAAGCATGCGAAAGAAAGACAGTGCCGCCGTGCTCGCCCCACGCCCCATGGTCGCGCTCTGGTCCAGGCCTTCGGGCCTTCAGGCCCCTGGGTGAGTGGAAATAAAGACGCAAGCCGGGTAGCGGTATTGGTTGCTGGCCTCCATTTATTTGGTCTAGCAGGAGTCCGCCACAGTTTCCATCTTACAAGAAAATAAATAAATTAACGTATTTTTAAATTAGAGATCTTGAGAGTCGCTCTCGAGACAGGATTGTCGTGGAAAGTCACTCACACGCTCACGCGCACTTCCACACACAATAGATACACACATGCACACACAGTTTGTTTTTAAAAATATCCTGTACATACCCATACACTCACTCACGCTCACACAGTAAGGTGATCCCCACTGGACAGGGCCAGGCTGGCTGGCTTCCTGGATGGCTGGCTTGCCGCATCGATGCTCAGTCGTGTCCATTGTGGCCACCCACCTTCTCTGTACGCTTTCGCTCATACAAACGCTAGTCTAAAAGTCATTCATTATAAGTGATATAACCTAGATGAATATTGAATATCTCTCTCCCTCTCACATTATACAAAACACGCGCCCTCTCGCACGCACGCCCAGTCGCTCACACACTCACACACGGACACATCCCCAAAGCTACGAGGCCTTGACGGGCTTTGGCCTCATGTACGCCTTGTAATAGAAGTCGGAGAAAAGAATGAACATAAACATGTTCTGTGGGATGATGATCATGAGACCGAAGGGAGCGAAGTTGCAGGGGTTGTTGAACACGAGCTTGCCGAAGTGGATGCTGAGGAACAGGAACTGCAACTGCAACAGAGAGCATGTCGTGAAAGTCATGCTAAAGGCCCAAGGCCGTGCCCAAGGCCGTGCCCAAGGTCGTACCTAAGGACGTACATATGGCGATACCCAAGGCCATACCTGAGGCCATACCCTACGCCATACCCAAGGCCATACCCAAGGCCATACCCAAGGCCATACCCAAGGTCATACCCAAGGCCATACCCAAGGCCATACCCAAGGCCGTGCCTAAGGCCGTGGGGCGTTTCTGGAGATGCGGTGCTTACCAGCTGGATCTTGGTGATGTACTTCTTCCACCACGTGTTGCCGTACTGCGGGGAGATAGAAGTCAGCAGGTAGTAACTGTAGAGAATGGTGTGTACAGCGGAGTTGACGGTCATGAGCATCGTGCCGTGGCCAGCTGAGTGCAAGAACAATTACTTCAGATTACTTTCAATCAATGTCTCTTCAGTAGAACTCGTGGCGGGTAGGCAATTTGCAGTGCTTGTAGGCAGCATGCTACCCTTTGCGCGTACTTGTGAACCAGTTGACGGCGCCCCATCCCAGCGCCACCATGCCCGTGTGGTGGTACAGGTGCAGGAAGGAGATCTGGTTGTACTTCTTGCGCAGAGTGAAGAAGACCTGGTGGGGCACACAGCACACATCGTTAGTCGAGCAAAGAGGGAGCCTCTCACAGACCGGGGGCAGGTGCGGCTGCCCACCTCCCCAGCGGTAGGGCCCGCCACCCAGCTGGGTCGTCTAGAGTCTCTGTAGTCTAGGCGTGTGCTATCACCGCCCTACCGTCGCTACTCCGGGCGTGAGAGACTCTGAGGGAAAAGAGGGGGGGAGGGGAGCTTGTGGCTTTCAGCTAGGGGCACTGGGGCAGTAGCACTGCGGCGAGGACGGCTTGAAGGTACAAGGTGTCTCGGCTCAGCCATAACTTTCAAACCGTCGCATTTTGATGGGTACTCTATGGGTACACTGTAGAGGAAGGTTCATCTATAGAGTACGCCAACTATTTTGAACCCGAAGCAGAGCCCCTTCCTCCCATACGTCTAAAAGTGTACTTTCGCGGTGAAAAAGCTCTTCTTTTTGGACGTCCTATCCCGCTATGCCGGCCCATGTCCGTTTTAGAGGTGAGGGCAAAACAATTCTTCCCATTTCCACGACTGCGTAAACATTCCTCAACTTACCGTGTCTAATAAGTCAACGATTTTGGTGATAAAGTACAAGTGCATCATGGAAGCCATCTGTAATCATGAGCAGGTTTTAATGTAACGCATATGCATGTGGAAAGAAAAAGAATTAAACAAGTAAGTAACGACTAGGTATCACTTACCGCGTAGTCGTCGGGGTCTTCCAGCTCAAATATCACGGGCGCGCATTGCCAGCTGTATCTTGAGTACCATCCGTGCTTTAATAACTGAGGGCCGAAAGAAATTGTTGTTAGCGCGGCTTCTTCTCGCCCGCTTCCGAAAAACAAATATAACAGCCAGCCGGCCTCACCTTGTAGCACGTGTAGGAAGATAAGAATATCTGTATAGCGTTGTAAACTTGAATGATTCTATCCAGCTTGAAGGGCTTTCTGTATTCCATCATCTTGCGGCCGTAGTCGTTGACAAACCATAAGTAGATTCCCATGATAGCCAAGGTGGGGAAGGGTGAGGACATCAGCAGCCAGTCTCTCGTTTCTGGGTCTGGAACGCGACGTATAACTTAATGCGTCACTGCCTAATCAAATCGACTTGATTCTGTCAATTTTCTTAGCCTTCACACCCGACAAAGTGTGCAACTTTTTTCGTTGGACATTGCCGCTTTGACTCAACAATTTTTATGGTCGATGGGGGGACTTACTTCCGATGTCGTAAAACAAAAAGTTGTAACCCTTGACCATGGATTTGATGATCGTCGCCATGATGGATGATGGCGGCGCGTCTGAAAAACCAAATTTGCACTATCATGCCGCTGCTTTCAGTGTGTTCTTGGTTTCGGCGTAGCTGAGACACACTTCCGGGCGCGCCTAGTGCCTTCCTGGTTACCATACAATGGGCCGGCCTGCCTGCGCGCGGCGCGCATTGGGCGTCCAAACGCCCAGCCAATTGGTGGCCCGGAAACGAGCACCACTAACCTGTTCACTTGAATGGGGTGGTGGAACCCAGGGCAGGCTCTAGGCGTGAAATGGATTTCCCGTTTCCCGTTTTACTCGTTGCGAAACGGTGGTCCAGCTCCACCGGACCTCACAGAACTCACTTCTTTCGCCTGCAGAACCGTTCACGGTGCGCGGTAAGGCCGGGAGAGCGAGAGAGACAGAACAAGAGAGCGCGGGAAGCACCCGGTGACTTCGCCACGCCTCGACTAACACTGCGACGAACACCGACCACAAATTTCCTTGGATGAGTCCCGAATAAAGCAAAGTGCCGGGTTGGCCGGGCCGGGCCGGCCGGGCTGGCGGGTGGGGCGTGGAGCGTCCCCGTCAGGGCGGGGTGCATGTGGTGGGGGCCTTGCCGGCTGCTCGTCGGGACACGGTGCCCTCTGAAGGGCACCACGCCTGTTGACACGCCGGTGGGATTCCTCGGGGACTAGGATTAGATGGCCGATGTGGCGTAACGGAAGGGGAAATAAAACAACAGGCTGGCATAAGTGAATACGCTATATTTTTCTAAGAATGTGTAGACTTTCAAATTTTCTCAAAAACGTAACAAGGTTAGCAATAAAAGATGAACCTAAAAGACATAGTTTAGTTTTCATGGGAATGACAATAGTTACAATAATAAAACGTAATTATGATTTTTTTAATTAAAGAGAAACGACAATGTATTCCTACGAAAGATTAGTGTCGCATATAATGTAATTGATCAAATCTCTAAGGATCACAATAGAACATTGGGAAGGTAATCATTTGTGTCAAACTTTCAAGTCGTTTCCTGGACATTAGGGAAGAAGTTAGATGGATCCTCACGCCAGTTGGCTGCCAGTTCTCACGTTTGCGTAAAAACAGCATACCAGACAAGTTTTTACAAGTTGGAGCCATCCGACCAGGTCAGCCTAACTCTTTCCCCACAGGAAGTTTACACTATGCCGACTGCAGCAAGAATAATCCCAAGATGTGAGGGGACCATAGCAATAATCAACAGAACGGTAGAAAGGCAATTCCCGCGTTAGAGTACAAAAAATAGAGAGGTAGGCGATATAATACATAGGGAAATCATATACATAATCTCATATTAACAAGTAACTATGCCGATTACATTAAGTTCTTACAAATTGACATGGAAGAAACAGGATTCAACAAAATCTGAATTGCTCACTCAGGTAAACACAAAGATAGAAGGCATTGAGCACCGCTTGACACAAAGTTTACCACGCAACAATAACCAGAAACTCTCTATGCTACAAAATATAAACTAATGAGATACAACAATGCAGCCAGTGTGCTTGGTAAAAAACAATGGCACCACATAGTGCATTGGAGGTGGTCGTTATTATTTGGCGAATTCAATTCTCAATTTTACATTAATTAAAAAAACAAAGTAGAAATACGTTTTCTTATGAGAATCGAGAATAGCTATAGAAATGTATCTAAGTCAGTATAATGCGTCAATAGTTTAAGTAATCTCAACTAATTAATTCCACAGACCTCGAAAAGAGCCGCTTGATCAACGCCACAAGAGAGGTGACACGGCCAATCGGCGTTCCCAAGTTGGCAATGGTAATGCCTGGGAACCTCTCTCTCCGACTTTGGCAATACCCGTAATTGAGAGGCGGCTTTTCAAGGATTATGTTCACTGATCAGCACTGCCCTCCGGCCCATGGGGTCAAGCCGCCGTGGCTCTTCATATTTTTGCATGGCGTCCCCATTTGACGGTCTTTGACCTTTGATTTAGCTAGCCGGTGCGATCCCTTGCGATGTCTACACGCCACGGGCTGACTGAGCCACGTGGACAGGACCTACGCGGGGACGCTGTTTTGGGAACGATAGGGTATGCATTCACGTACAGAGGGACTTGCACGCATTAACAATCAGCCAAAGACTCTTGATCTATCACCGTAAATACGAGGTACACTGCATGGCATAGGTACGATATCTAAACATATTGTGCTTACGTTCCTCGCGTTGGCCAACAGAACGAATTATGCCATGCAAGGGAAATATGGAATATATTTTGGGAAAAGTATCTATCTAAATACTAGTCCTCTACTTAGTTTTTCACTTTTGTCTGCATCACAGAGGGCAAAGTACGGCCCATCATATATAAACTAACTTTTTACTGCCAAGAACAACTCCAAAGCAAAGTGTTTTCTTTTTCTTTCAAGAACAGAATTCTCTTGCGGTGCATTTAAGGTGAGTGCAGGCACCTGGGCGAGGCGAGGCGTCGACTGCACGCTTTCGCGGGCTGTCGCCGTCACACATGGCACCACGTGTTGCGCCACTAGGTCCGATTCCCTACTTGTGCATCGGCCTTTTGCAGCCCCTTGGCAGCGCAACGGAACACGCGCGAAGACACGTGCCTCCGAGGGGGAAACGACTGGTAATTTCGTGTCAGCCGGTTTGCGGACGACGTGAAATACCCGCAGATTACCTACGGATTAAATCATTTTTTCTTTACAAGGATCACCCTCCGATTAAGCCGGACGCACCTCCAGAGATTACCTTCGGATTTCTGGTAATCCGGATACCGGGCAACAAATCAGCTGTCAGCTGGATTACCCGATCCGTTGCCCCCTCGCGTGCCTCTCCCGACGCGTAACAATCGATTCAAAGTCTAAAAGTGGCAATCAAACTGCAAGTTACATAAGTCTATTTTCTAAAAAATATATTTACAATACAGCGTTATGTAGATGTAGAACAATGAGTAGATCTTACATGGTAAGTCAACGTGATATGGCGCTTAGAAATGATACAAAATAGTGACGGTCCTCTCTGGACTACTAGAATCAGAGAATAATTCCCACACTACATTTAAAGAAGAACATGCGCACAGCACACGTAGAGTTTGTATACGCGATTTTCGGTTATATTCGTATAATAATTACTATATATTCTATTAGGAAGAAATAAATTCTTAAACGTATTATTAATAGTAAACACCAATTGGTTCGTAGGAAAATGTGAATCATTCATAACCATAAGCGTGTGATATGTTCTGAATTTTTGCAGAGTTGAATCGATACTTTTTATAAGGAAGCATGCAGGAAGCTTGAATTGTTGAGAGAGTCCACAAAGCAAGCATTTCTCAAAGGAGTGTTTTATATCTCATTTTGATCCGCGCGAAATGAAAGCGGGTTTATGACATTTTTATGAAGTCAGAAACACGCGTTCATAACAATTTGTTTCGAAGTTAAGACTTCATCAGGAAAAGTGTTCGGTAAAGCTTTCACAAAGTTTCACGAGACCACCTCCCACCCATACCTAAGGCTTCATTATTGTGTTCATTGACTGGTTGAATTATTCATATAAAATTTGGTTCACCTACAACAAAATACCAAAGATACAATCAAAGAGAAAAACATTCTTATTGCTATAGCGATCTGTTGCTCCTCTTAGCCTACACTAGGGATGTGCGAGTCCACTCGGAACTGATGCCAGGCACTGCACTGTGATACAGGACAGGGTGGGCAAAATGTTCGATCACAGGTTACGTTGCCGAACTAACTTCGGCTGGCTCTAGTCTCTCAGGGGTTGCACCCCACTCCAATCTGCCGAACACAAGGGTAACTGACTCACACATCCCTAGCCTACACAATATGTTTTTGGCCCCGATACATCTAAGTTACGTTGCATCACAAACGCTCCGAACGGTTGTACACAAAGTGGACTCCGATCTACTACAACCGCCATTCAGAGCTTTCCAGGGAAGGCCTCTTCAAAAGCATTCTGTTGGGACCCAAAGTTGTTTCCGTTCAAGGCGTAACAAAATTGTGAGGCTCTCAATTTAAACTACAAAATGTTGGAACACGTCATCAAACCACAGCCGTACCTCTAAAACAGATAATAGTTGCTCCAATTTGGCAGCGTAAAAGAAAATTTGCGCAGTGTACAAGGGAAATATTTGCGCAACTATTGATGGTATCAGAAAGCAGTTAAAAGTGTTGATTTTGTTTTTATCAGAGGAAAGGCAGAGAAAAGGCGTGCTGGCTTTACTTCGCCTACTTCTGCTTACATCTTTTCAGTTTATTGTCACTGCAAAAAGCGATTTTAAAATAAGTCGCTTCTCAACAACGCAAACCTCATCGTTGATTTCAAAAACAAAATTGGGGAGGTCAATCAATTTTTTTTTTAAATTTCTAAAGCCAAATGTCAAAACTTTACATGACGTGGTTGTTGATAGTATAATTTTAAAAATCATTATTAAATTAAAATTATTATCATCATCACCTTTACAATATTACACTTTTTTTAAATTTAGTTTATTTCACAGGAAATTGAAAACACAGCCTGAGCAAATTCTTTCCTTACCGAGCAAAACTTCCCGCACAATGCCCAAAATATCACAAGTTTGGCACTGCAATCAAATACACTCAGGTCATCGCCTTTTCTTTCAGAGCAAACCCTATTTTTATAATGCTATTTTCACAGAGCGTCAATAGTCGTGTGCAGGTATGTAGCACGCATGTTTAAAATGTTATTCTAAAAAAGTAACGTAGCTTTACAAGGAAAGGCACGTACCACTTAAATACTGCGTGGAACTCCATTGAGGAACAAAGTCACCATCCATGTCTTTTTTTTTTAAGACTAAGCGAGCCATAATTATTAGTTTAAGAATCCTTCATGCAAGTCTTATAATAAACGAGCCTAACTCTTTTAAAATATAAACTACGACGAGGAGGATGAGGATGAGGAGGAGGGGGTATTGAGACTGAAACGATCCCTTGTCGAACGAGCTCGCGGAGGGCGCGCCCGTCCAGCCGCGCGGTGAAGGGAGGAAAAGTGTGTCCTCGCTCAGGAAGACGGCTACGTGTGAGAAGAGAGAGTGGAGCTACGGTAGTCCTACGAAGGGGGGAAGAGGAAGACGACGCTGTCCTCACTGCTCGCCGGGGGCGCCGCCGTTCCGGAGGCCAGCCTTGCGCTCCGGAGGCACCAGCTTCCGGAAGCAGTCGTCCATGAAGTTGGCCATGGACCGGTACAGGTGGCGCTTCACGCCGAACAGGCTGTGGTTCTCGTCCGGGTAGACCTGCAGGGACAGCACAGGGAACAGTCAGACCGGCTGTGCCTGTTTCAAATACGCCATTTCTAAAAGCCGACACAGACCTGCTGCCGAAAGAGCACGCCCGACCCCGTGAGCGCGCGCGCCAGCATCATCGAGTGCTGGAAGTGCACGTTGTCGTCGGCCGAGCCGTGCACCAGGTAGAACATCTTGTCGCTGCCGCGGAAGCCGTCGGCGCGGCGCGTCAGGTCCGCGTCGTTGTAGCCCTTGTAGTTGCCGGTGACGTTGGGCACGCCCATGTAGCGCTCCGCGTACGCCGAGTCTGCAACAAACGCAACGCGATGCAAATTGGGGAAGCGCGTTCTCTCGTTCGCATTTGGATCCGCTTGCGTTTCCCGTGAAGTGTGACGCAGTGTGACGTCAACGACGGACTCGAAAACAACATCAATGCGTCCGTGCGCGCGCTGCGCGCGCAGGTGACTGAGCATTCTCGGAATGTCGAGGCTGTTGGACTCTGGGCATTCTTGGCGACGCCCGGGCGATTGCCCTGGAAAGGCTAACTGCACAGTTTTAAAGATCCGGCCTACGGATTACCAATTTGCTGTCAGACGGATTACCAAAGTCGTTACCCCCTGAGCTTACACTGGTAGAACTCAAGCGTAGTTTTACGCCTTTTTTCAAGCGTAGTAGAACTACGCTCGGCTTCAAGCATAGTTCTCCATTTTGCTCCTCTCCCGCCTATCTAAATGCATGGGAGAACTTCTTCTCTACGCTTGACGTCAAGCGTAAAGTCTTCAAGCGTAGTTGTATGCTTGAATCAAGCATACAACTACGCTTCAGTTTTACCGGTGTATTCGGGTCAGACCCCGCCAACCTGTGGGCCGTATCCGAACAGCGCTTTCGCCGCTCTCCCTGTCTCTCTCGCACGCCTGCGGCACGCCCCACGCGTGCGAGAGAGACAGAGTGACGGCGCACTGTGCGGAACCACTACTGACCCACATAGCGTCGATGCAAATGCAACGGACGCCGCGAATTATGCCGAAGGGTCACTTTGTCAAATCCATCTGCGTCAGCCCCTCCCCCTTCCCCCGTCGCCGTGGGCGGCCCCAGTGCATACGCCGTGCGCCACTGCGCGCACGTGTACAGTGTGGTTGGCGGATTGGCGGGCAAGCCGCTGCCTTTAATCACTTTCTCGCGGGTCTCTCTCGGGCCGCCGCCACGCCGTTCACTGCCACGAGGGCCGCCAGGTCCTGCGCATCGCCACGTAAGGGGAAACGGTCTGTTCCTGTTCGCCGTGGCCGCGACGCGCTTGCCGCCACGCCGCCGCTGCGGTGTGGGGGCCAAAGTCCGGTCGACGTGGTCAGCGCCGCTCCGCCGCCCTCAAGGCCTCAAGGCCGCCCCGCCGACGGCGCGGCACGTCCGACGAAGGGCCGCGTGCGGCCGCGTGGCACCCAGTGGCACCTGGACCCTGCCCTGGACGGCTGTCGTCACTCCCATCGTGGCCCGCGGCCCGCACGCCCGCAGCGCGTGGCCGGCCGACCCCGGCGGCGGGGTGCCCAACGACGCACGGTCAGCCGGGCAGTCCACTGCCACGACGGCCAGGTACTCACCGTACAGCTTCCACGAGGCGACGGGCGCCACGCTGATGCCGCAGCGGAACACGTCCTGCTCCTTGGCCAGCAGCATGGCGGAGACGAAGCCGCCGTAGCTCCACCCCCACACGCCCACGCGCCGCTTGTCCACGAAGTGCAGTGTGTCGCGGAGGTACCTGCACACCGAACAGGGCGCCGTCAAAGCATAACCCACCGCGAGGCACGCGTCCGCCGTCGCCAACACTGCCGACGAGTTTACTCACTCGGTGACCTCCAGCTGATCGTTGACTTCCACCGTGCCCAGCTGTTGGTAGACCTCGTGCATGAACTTGTAGCCCTGGCCGCCGGAGCCCCTGCCGTCGATCTGCGCCACGATGAAGTCCCTGTTGGAGGCCAGGTACGTGCTCCAGTCCACGCGCCACTTCTCCGTCACCAGCTGCGTGCCCGGGCCGCCGTACCTGCAACCGCCGTCAAGGCCGTCAACCAGTCCGTTCGTCACCCAGCCGCGCTGCCGCGCTGTCCACCAGGCCGCTGGTACTTACACCTGCACGACGAGCGGGTAGCGGGTGATCTCCTCCTCGCGCAGCCCCGGCGGCAGGTGCAGGCGCACCTGCGCGTAGTAGCCGCCCGAGATCTGCACGGGGAACGTCTTGACCTGCGGCAGCGCCATGCGCCAGGCCTGCTCCTGCAGCCGCGTGTTGTTCTGCAGCGTGGACAGGTAGAGCGGCGTGGCCTCGTCGTCCGTGTGGTTGTGCGCGCCCTTGACGCTGCGCGTGGAGAAGAGGCGCGCGTTGGGGATGCCCGGCCCCTTGCACTCCAGCACGAAGAAGGACAGGCGCGGGCTGAACACGGCGTTGTGGTACAGGCACGGCCGCATCAGCATCTCCTCGATGGGCGGCGTGGGTGCTGCGGGCGCCACAGGGAGCGTGAGAGAGAGTGAGAGAGACAGCGAGATTACTCCATGCGTGGCGGGGGAGGGGGCTGGCAGCGCTACCCCGCGCGCTGGCGGCCCTGTGGGTGCGCGGTGGCGTGCGGGGGTCACGGCCTGTGCCTTTGATCCGCGCCGGGGCGGCCGCTCTACCAAAGCAGCGCGTCAGGGGAAGTGGAAAACGGAGGGCAAGTCCAACCGTGAGCTTACCGGACTTCTTCTCCTTCCTGGTGGGCTGCTGCGTGGTGACAGGCGGCTCGGTGGAGTGGTCCACGTCGTCCCAGTCGTCCTGGCCGGTGTCCTCGGTGCGCGCCGTGTCCGTGGCCGCCTGGCTGTAGTAGCTGCTCAGGCCCGTCTCGCTGCGCGGCGTCTCCGGCGAGCAGGTCAGGCACTTGGGGGCGGGGGCGGCCTCGCCCTGCGCCAGCGCGGCGGACCGCACGTAGTACAGGTGCATCTGGCCGGGCCTGCCCTCCGGGACGCCGAGGTAGTAAACCTGTGGACGGCGAAAGAAAAGGTCAAGTCTTGGGCTCGAAAACCATCAAATTTTCCTTTTTCATATGGAAACCTTTTTTGGTACTTGCCAGTTGGTGCTGGTGGTCCCAGGCGAGGATGCGCGCCACCTCGAACTTGCCGTGCGTGAGCGGCACGACACGCTTCCGGGTGATGTTGACGTGCACGATGTGGCGGTAGAAGCCCGCCATGCCGTCGCGCACCGGGGCCATGGTGACGTAGTTGTTGCCGTCGGGCGCGAACAGCGGCGGCGGCTGCGCGTCCACCCAGCCGCGGCCCTCGTTGGAGACGCGCTGCGTCTGCGGGACGAGAACTCATTAGCCGATGTGATTACCCCAGAGCGAGGGGGGAGGGGGGAGGCGACACCGACCTCGACGCACGCCCAGGTGGGGCTCTTGCAGATCGAGATGATGGTGAGGTTCTGCGGCCGGTTCATCCAGACGACGGACACCTCGGTGGAGCTGAGCCAGGTGGCGGCGGACAGGTAGTAGTCCCTGGAACACGGAGCACAGCCCTCGGCGTCAGCGTCGCGGGCGCGGCGACACTCTCTTGGCCCCGTGCCGGCCCGCCTTCAAGCACGCCTTCAAGCAGCACGCCGTGCCCGCCCTGTCGAACGCTGGCTGTCCCGGCGTCTTGGCGCGCCTCCGATTCCCCAGCAACTTTCCGTCCAGGGTTCTGCCGGGCCAGCCAGTGCCAGGCTGATTCCGAGCACTGCTCGTGTTGCTGTCTCTCTCGCACCCTTACGGGAAGCCCCATGCGTGCGAGAGAGACAGCGCGACGAGAGCGGTGCTCGCGGCCCGTTGGCGGCGCCCTGCCCTAATTCACTTACAACGCAATCGACAAAGTAGCGGCCGCATCACGCTGCCGTATTTCCCAACCGACTTCCCCGACTTTGCTTCGGGTTCGGACCAGCCCCGGGCGCGAGGGAGCATCATGCGTGCATTTCCCGAACCGCTTGAGCCGTCCGGGCCGGCCCAGCTACCGCCCCAGCTACCGCCCCACAGTGGGCCGGAACCCCTGGAATCTCGTGTAGCTGCGGCACGCTTACCTATTGAAGCCGAAGGCGAGGGGCGGCTCCAGGTCCCGGGTGCGGATGTCAGAAGGCACCGTCAAGTTGGCGACCCTGAGAGTAACGATCGGGTTCGGTGTTCCGGGCTGCAACAAATGACCATCATTTCGCGGCGGCACATGGGAGCAAGCGCAGCAAGCGCAGCAAGCGCGCCGAGCACCGTCGGCGAAAGTCGAGTCTGGGCGTCTGGCCAGCCTGCAGCCAGCCGGGCGGGGCGGGGAGGGGCGGGGCGACTCGCGAGCCCGGCGCCTCTAACAAGTTAAGTTTGCGAGCTTCCATTGCGCGCCTCGCCGGCTGCAGGCTGCACTCGCATTAAATTTTCCGAGGCGCGCCGAGGAAGGGCGCGGTAGTTCCGAAAGGCAGTGCAGGGCCGGGCTGGGGCTCACCTTGGGGTAGCGCAGGCTGCGGATGTCGGGGTACTGCCTCTCCTCGTCCAGCGTGCCGTACCAGGGGATCTTCATCTCCTCCACCAGGGTGTCGTTGAACGTGGCGAACAGCACCGAGTGGCCGCCCTCCGACATCCACATCGCCGTCCGGCCGCGCAGGATCTCCTCTGCGAAAGGCGAAACACAGCGTGAGAAGCGGCCGGCCGGGGCGCCTAGAAGCACGCCACCCGGTGGGCCTCGGCGCGCGGCGGGATGGCCTAGCCTCGCCACGGCAGGCGCTCACTGCTTACCCTCGTACAGCCAGTCCGGGACGCCGTTGCAGATGACGCCGGGCACGGCCGTGTTGGTGATGCGGTACGCGCGGCTGGCGTTGGCGCTCGGCTTGTAGTAGATGTCGTAGTCGTACACCATGAGCAGCGCGCTGCCGCGGCCCGCCCAGGCCGCGTCCAGCAGGAACGGCGGGCCGTGGGCGCTGCCCGCGCTGCCCAGCGGGCCCGTGGCGGCGTGCGGGGGCGGCGGCGCGGACGGCTTCTCGGAGGGCGACAGCGGCACCAGGTCGCCCGTCGCGATGTTGTAGATGGTGTACTGCGCCAGGAACGAGTAGCGGAAGAGCTGCGCAGAGAACGGCGGTCAAGGCGCGCAGTCAGGCGGCAGCCACGGCCAGGACGACGACGACGACGACCGGCACTCACCTTCTGGACATTGTACCCCAGCAGCACGTACTTGTGGTCCGGCGACACGAGGATCTTGGAGGGGTTGAGTCGTTTCTGTGAACAGACATCGCCGACGGTCAGGAGAACTCTCTCGTCGCGAGCGCCATCCAAGGACAACGCCGCTAGAGACGCTAGACGCTACTCACCAAGGTCTGGTTGCTGATAAGGACCGTGGTGCTCAGGTTGCGCGCGTTCAGGACGCTCAGGCCGCCGTACTGGTCCAGCAGCACCAACTCCTCGTCTGCAAACAGCAAACAAGACGAGTCAGCGTTGCCAGCAGTGCCAGCGGTCGCTTGCAGAAATGTTCGCGATACGGGGTGTTGTAGTCTGCACGGCCCGCACACAAAAAGCCTAGAATGGCCCCCTTTGCGCCCCCCTCCCCCGCCCTGGAGTTACAGTGTGAGAACGCAGAACGGAGCGGGGCACTGGATGAAACTTTTTCCAGCCACGTACGGAGTACGGAGTGTGGCGCCTGACGCGCACTTCATCATCATCACTGGGACTGCGGGGGTCCACGCGGCGAACGGGAGAAATTACCCACGTGGAATCAATTAACGCGCGGGGCCGGGGGGGGGGGGAAGCTGTGGCACTGACGGACGGCGGGTCAGGCAGATTCAAGCGGCAAAAGAGCAGACGTCGTTAGGCCGCATTCACCGAGGCCGCCGCGGCCCGGCCCGGCCCGGCACGCGTCGCTCCGTCTCCCTCGCGCACCCCTGCGGAGCGTCCCTCGTAGTGTTTTAAAGGGTAGGAATATTCCCGGGAATTTAGGGAATTCCCGGGAACGTTCCCGGGCACAATCAGACCCAAAAAATGGGAAATTCCCGGGAATTTTTAAAACATGGTTAAAAATAGCTAGTTTTTGCACGAAAAATGTAGAAAGTGCAAGATATCAAGGAATAATTATGAATCACTTGAGTGTATTTGCATTTTTCTTTCAGAAGAGAACAAAATAAAACTTTTCGTAATAAAAATTAGAAAAAAACTCGTATTAAAAAGTTTAACTTTCATCAACTGTGATGGGTTTTACATGAAGCAATGTTCCCGGCCAAGTGGGAATATTCCCGGGAATTCCCGGGAAGTCTCGGGAATATTCCCCCGAATGATTGTTCCCGGGAATTTTCGAACACTAGTCCCTCGCCACGAGTGCGAGAGAGAGAGAGCGACGGCAGCGCTGTGGGGAATCAGCGTGAGCCAGCGAGTCGTATTCCGAGCGTGTCGCCGTCCGCCAGCGACCCTGGCAGTGGCCTGGCGGTGGCGGTGCATTTGGGAACAGCAGAGCCCAGCAGGGCTCTCCCCGCCCTCGTCCCTCGTCCTTGCGGGTGGATCCCGCCACGCCGCCCCGCCGCACCGCGACTTTGGGGGTGACTCCCGACTCCAGTCGGCGCCGCGCTGGCCCAGGGCCGGGCCCAGGGCCACCCCAACTCGGCGTCGCGACGCCGCCAGCAGTACATACTGTTAACACGGCACGGCGCGGCACGGCGGGGCGCTGCAGCAGGCGCCAGAGGGTGTGTCTTATCAGCATCCTCGCGACGCGGTGCGGCGCGGCGCACGGCTTGGCGCCGCGCGGCAAGACATGACACAGCCATGCGGCGAGCTCAACAGGCTTCCCGCCTTTTGGTTGCATACATAATGAGGCCGACCAGGGCCGACATCGCGTCGCCAGCCATCGCGAGCCGAAGCCGCGTTGCACGGTGCGCCGCCATCGGCAAATTGGATTGCGAGCGCGTCAAAAAGAAGCGGAGTAATAGCGGGAATCGAACACCGGTTCTTTGGGCTCGAAGTCAGCGCATTTACGCCCTCGGCCGCGCTCGGCTCGAGCTGACAGGCGGCGAATCGGGCTTGACCCCTGACCTTTTCGGCTCTCGGCTTTCGGTGAAATGCTCGCGTCGCGTTCTGAGTTCTGACTCCGCGGCGCCGCGGCGCCCCTCGGGACCGCAGCGCGCGCTCTGTCGCCCTTTGTCGACCTCCTCATGCAAACCAGCGAAAATACAAAAATGTATTAATGCCATGGAAATGAAGTCTCGGTCGGGCTCAAGTGGCGAGGACGGCGATGACGGCGGCGGGCAAAGAGGTTGTCTTTCCTTTTTTTTTTCTCTCTCCGTTTCCGTCGCCGTCGTCCTCACGAGCCTGGGCCTGGGGCCTTGCTTGCCTTGCCTGGGGCGCTAGTTGGCACGCTGTCAACCCACATGCGCCCTCGCTGCTTTTTCCCATGATTTTCCCCTCACATCGGACACGCATTTCCGTCCCTTTGAATTATCGCGTCGGCCGGCCCGCACTGCCTGCCCAGCGAGCGTCGCCCCGTCTCTCTCGCACTCCGTGGCGCGTTCCGTGTGGCCGTGTGGGCGCGAGAGAGACAGCGCGATGCTGGGAATCACTCCGCTGCCGCCGCTGCCGGACCGTCGTGGACGTGGAGGGCGCACTAGACTCTCGTGACTCTCGGCGCCCCCAGCAGCCCCCGCCCCCCACCATTAGTTGTCGGCGCAATTTAAAAGGGAAAAAAGATTAAGTTGCAAAAAATACAACAACAGCACCACCCCACCCCCCACCCAAAAAAAAGAAAAAAAAAGTGTCAGGTGCCGGCAGCGTAGCGAGAATCCAACCCCTGCTGTGGAACTCGCACAGTGTTGCCAATGCCAACTGTCTCAATTTGCGTAATCCGTTCAGAGTCACGCGCCGCTTGCGCTAACTCATTAAACAGACAGGGCAAGCGTGCACCGAATGGCTGCAGCGGCACGAAGCGATACGACGCACTACATGGCGTTCAGACTCTGCGTGTCAGCGACGGCGAGTGGGGTTCGAGCCTCGCCGATTACGGGTTAACTTTTCAACCGTCCTGCTTTGTCATACCTTTTTATTTTTATTGAGCTACTTTGAGATTGCCGCGACCTTTAGCGACAAATTTTACGAGCACAGATTTACGACGAGTTCTCAGTATCTCGATCCACGCGGGCTAGGGAGGGCTAGGGAGGGCTAGGGAGGGCAGGCAGGGTTGCAGCGGCGTGGATCGGCTTTTCAGAAACTCGATATGGGGCGGCTGTTTTTAGCTCGGCAGCTCGGCGCTTAGCAGCACCGCGCAGCACACTCTAAACGTCTCACGGTGACAGGCTGCACCGCACCGCCATATTTCGTGAAGATTTTCTCCTTAAACGAAATACGTCAAAATATCCATAAGGTACAATGAATTTTCAAGGGTATGTTATAAAGTCAGCTGCACCACCCTAGAGAATTTTCACCAAAATGTATAGAATCTTCACTACACGACTTTTTCAGTGCACCGCCCGGCGGAGCGTTCATCCCGTCCTTGGGCCCTTCATGGCGGCCACCACCAAGGCCTCCGCCACGACCTTCATGGCCTCCGCCGTGAACAGAGCGCTCAGAGCGCACAGAGGGCAGAGGCAAATAAAAGTGCAGCGTAATCGAATGGCCCGCCTCGCCGGCAGCCGCAGTGGAGCCGCGCACCGCAGCGCGGCCTGTTTGCACAATGTCGTCATGTAATCTACAAGCTCAATTATTTTTTTTTATCTCAGCAAACGCCACGCGAAATAAACATAAAAAAAATTGAAAAATAATATTACTGCGGGTGACGCTGAAGCAAGAAGCGGCGGTGCGCGGCGGGGGCGCGGGGGTTGGGAGGACTAGGGTAGGGAGGGCCGGGGCACAGCGGGAGGAGCTGCTGGAAGGAGGCTGCGACTGAAAGTGGGCTAGTGTGTATCGATCCCTCCGCCCCGCCCCGCCTTGCCCCGCCCCGCCGCCTGCGTCCCCCACCCCCACGCCCCCCCTCCCCTCCCCGCGGGGCCGCGGGGGGCCGCGAAGGGCGCGCTCGCGGTCTTCTAATTGTTCAATGGAACGCCAAACGCGGATCGCGGATCGCGCGCGACGTGTCGTGTCGCGGCCCTGGAGACGCAAACACGCCTTGCGTGCGGCACGGCACGCCCCCCGCCCCGCCGCCCCGCCGCGCGCGCCGGCAGGCTCATTCCACGCGGTGCCTCCTCGCCCCCTCTCTCTCGCACCCCTCCGGGCCGCCCCCGCGAGTGCGAGAGAGACAGAGCGGTCCCGCTCGGCCTGGAATCTCTCGCCGAGGTAGCGGCGCACGCGAGCGGCCGAACACGTGTCCGCCTCGTCGTCGGCGTCCTCGTGCGCGGAGGGCGGGCTGGTCGTCGTCGTCGTCCTGGCGAGGCGAGGCGGAAGGCGGCCGTGCAATGAGGCGTGTTTGCTCTGTGGGACGCCCTGCCGATGAAAGCAAACACGCACCAATGTCCACCCGAGTAATCCGTTCTGTACGCGACGGGGTGGGGGGGGGGGCGACGCCGCCTTTCGTTGAGGGCCGCGCACCGTGGCGGCGGGCCGGTCTGGTGGGCCAGCCGGTCTTTGAGCCTCCGCGCCGTGCCGCTGCCGCGCCGCCCCCGCGGACTGGAGCCCACTGATACTGTTGTCTTTTGCAGTGTGCACACGGACGGACAGACAGACAAACACCGGAAGCTCGGTGCGGCCATTCCGCCCTTATCGCAGTGCCCCGGTGTGTCTGCTATTCCACTAATAATTCATTCCGCCCCCTTCTCCTTCCCCCCGGGGTCGCCCTGGGTGGGCCGGGCCGCCCAGGGTGGCTCCGTGAGAGCGACTCCGGGACGAGTGCTGCTGCGGTGCCGCGGAGACGCTGGCGAGTGCAGGGCACTGCAGGGTGGTGCAAGGGGGCCGGGCCGGCGGTGGCACCGTGCGCACCGTGGGCCGCTACACTGAAAAACCAAACGTGGTCTAGACCACACCAACTGATGCGGTCAAAATGGCACCCATTTGACCACACCAGTTGGTGCGGTCTAGACGGAGCTCCCCACGAGTGCGAGAGAGACAGCGCGACGAAAAAGACTCGGAATCAGTGTGCCTGCAGGCGGACAGGTCCCGGCCGAAGGCTGAAGGGGTTTGAGTGGGGACTCGTTGAGGTGGGACTTGTTGTTCTCCGTCCCGACGCCCCATGCATCGGTCCCACGGCCCGTCTCAGGGGAAAAGGGGGGGGGGGCGACGTTCGGGTACACCGCCCGGCGGCGAGTCGATAGGCTGACAGGCCCGCTCTCCTAGAGTGGTCCAGATACGGATCAGCACGGCAGGGCGAGGCAGGGCGAGGCATGGCGAGGCAGGGCGAGGCAGGGCGGGGCATGGCGGCCACCACCGCCACCGAGGCCACCACGGTCCCCGAGCGGCTTTTCGGGCGACGGCCATTTCGGGGAGACGAACACGGCACACAGC